GATGTCAGAAAAGGTAACTTAAGAAACTAAGCAAAATTACAATGATACATAAATAAACAAGGGACTACTAGCAGTTACTGACATGCCAGCTCCAGACCTCGATTAAACTGATTGAAAGATTTTGTCTTCATCATATGACAATCAAGCACAATCCATCCCGTTAGGGGTTTAGAATCATACCATCATAAAATATATGAGAAGAACATAACCCGTATCATGCCAACAACTGGTTTTAGAATAAATGTGTTTATTTCGGATGCAAAGACTCTATGAGTGAATCAATATTAATACCAACATATGCCATCTTTAATGAACTGACACCAGTATCATAACAATATCCCTCCTGAATAAGTCTGTTTAAAGGTTTGGTTAGCTTTTGAGGTGAATGTCGACATTTTTGTGCTTTGTATAGAATATTACCTTAAAAAATGGGATGTGAAATACCTGAACGTATAAGGTGTCTGCATGTTGATTCATATTTACGAATGATGTCCTTGTACCGATGATAAAATTTAGTAAATGTTTTGACTAGTTTGTAATATCGAAAACTCTGGTGTAATTATTTTTCAGTAATACAGAGATTTCTTTCGTTAAAATCAAATACGTTGTTACATACACGCGCGAATCGAACAAACAAGTTGGGATATATAAACACCATAAGATGGTGACAAGGGCACATCATCATCTAGAAATGGATAATTAACAATAGGAAATGAAAATTCATCTCTTTTATCATAAATTTTGGCCAACATTTCATTTTTATAATTGCTTTTTTTTATCAGTCTCGTGAACTTATACCCCGGATTATTTTTGTTTCTGAATTATAATAAAAATACCTGAAGAATATGTCTGTCTGTGGTGGTAGACCACCATGGTCACTAAGGAACTATCTGACAATCATACCAACAGCAATGCCGGTGTTATCATGCTGGTAGTCTGTACACCTGAAGTTACCTTTGTGTCTGTGCTGGTACTTGTCATGACAATTTTATCCATTTGGCTACATTATGTTGGTAAAACTCAACTAACATTGCGTAAAAGGATGACTCAACATCGGTCGGATAATAAAAATATACGTAATTCAGGATTCCTAGTAACCATTTCATAAACCGGACCATGATTCATCTATTTCAATGAAAGTATGTATCATTGAGATGAAATTTTCCACCATACTAATAGCCCAATTGTACCAAGTTCGCTTTTCCGAACAGATAGAGATCATTTCTGAAAAGGGGAATATTCGGTACTGCAATACCATACAGTTGCAATGAAAACATCGAATGTGGAGGAAACTTTTCAAGTCCAAGAAGCAGTGATGTAAATGTATTAATATTATTCAACAATAGCTCAGGACCAAAGCGTAATCAGAACCAGGATCATAAACATAATCATCGTCCAAATAAATGTAAAAAAAAATTTTCAAATCTAAATCACTCACTTGGAGCTTTGATGACCTTCTTTCACATCTCTATCATCCGCTTGGATTACATGACATTCGTTTCAAAAATAATTTTCACTGCCTATAAACTTTCTAAAATGTTTAAGATATTAGGCACTTGACAAAAGATTCATAAATATGTTTTCCCAAATATACAGACTAATAAGTATAAATTGTGATGTAGCTTTTAACACAGTAAGATCAGAACCGGTACATGATGAAAAAAGGAAACCCCTCATGTTTACTTTTCAAATAAAGGAATCGATGCTATCAGCATCAGCAACATTCTTCATTGATAAGAAGTGTAACATTTAAAATTCCGCCTTATTTTCAAAACCAGTCTGTTTCTATTGTCTTCTACATTTACATCAAAAACTAAAATATATACAAAAATAAACAACTATTGCGAGACCTTTATTTAGAAGAAAACTCGAAAACCCTCTGACATGTGACTGTTCTCACTCTCTATATTTTTACAAGCCCTCTGGCCATGTAATAACTGGTGATCTAAACATAATTCAACATAAAAATCTCCGAAAGGTGATATATCATGGACCTAAATTTCGAATGTCACAAAACTTCATTTGAAACCATAATTTCTCAATAAAAAGGAATACCGTTATGGATTACGACAGAGCATTGGCAAAACGAGAAACGGTTGAACTAGACATTCTGTCAGAATGGGTTAAAGCAGATAGGTATTTGATATAACGTCGAATCCACAAGTTGATAAACTGTGTAAATGTTTGACCTAAGTCCTTATTCAGATACAAATAACCTCTGAAATATCTATCCCTTCTTCACGATAAACATGTTGTTTCTACTGACAAAGCTTCAAAAAATATTGTGTTTGTCTATTACAGCAAATCCTATTGCTACGAGTGACTAATCAAAGAATTATGAATTAATGAATACTAGGGTAATCCCAAGTACAAAAACGTAACTTGTGATAAGGACGAGAACTTGGCAAACCATAAGTCCTACATGGCCTCATTTAATATTTCAATGAGCAACACATCTGATGACTTACCTAATTTGTTTTTTGAATACCTGGACTTCACAAAGCTCCGTACAAACAACGGTATATTGCCAGCTCCTCTGTGTGTTCTACCAAGGAATTGTCAATAACATTAATTAACAATACGCAGTAAATACTGTGATACTGTTTACTCGCGAAGTGGCATTAACCATGTGTGGATTCTTAAGAACTCAAAAGAAATTCTTGAAAATTTTAAATCTCGGTCATTCTCTGAAATAAATTTTATCAAAACATTCGAATTCTACCTTGGCCGCAATTTCCTTTTGATGGACTAAAGACGTCATATCAGTATACTCTAGGTCTCTAAGTCTTCCAGTTTACACCAACTTACCACTCAAGTGAAACACACAAAGGGAAATAACATAACTCTTACTACATGTAACCGGGTCGCTTTAGTCCAAATTTAGCTTGCTATTATGAGGAAGAATTGAGAATTTTTTTAACCGATATATTTTGTGGTTTGTGAGGGGTAGCAATAACAAGAAAACAGTATACGGGGAGATTACTCCAAGATGAAAGAGTGTCTAGTTCAACATATTGAGTTTCAAAAGCGCTTCAACTGTTCAATACCATATATCAAGTATACCAAATATCATATCACCATGTTGAATAACAGAAGCGGCAGTGTAAAAATCACAATCAGAAAAATATCAAAAGGTCTTTAAAAGAAATGTGTAAAGAAGTGGTAATAATTTTCTTTTTGAGTGGACATTGCAACAAAATGTAACGAAAAGGAATATTATGGCTGCAATTTTTCGGGTCTCTTATTGCTAAGATAAAAAATCACAAAACCGGTAGCAACAATAACAAATCTGTATATCTGGGAAATTAAACGATCAAGGAGGTACCACTGACGATTGGAAAACAGAATACGACAAAGGTTTAATATCATTGACAGTCAGTTGTTCGATCATATCTTGTCATTTTACAACACAATATATCATTACTGTAAGTAATGTGATGCTATTATTAGTTTAAAGCGGACTTTCATTTTTCTTTATAAATTGTTTGACATGTTATCATAATGATTGTTATCCCGGTTTTTAACGGTTACTTTACTGTATGAATTTTGCTCATTGTTTATGGATGGATGAATGACTGTTTAACGTCAAGTAGGCAGTAAAATTCATATTGAAGACTAGAACATGATAATGTAGTATGACTATCAGTACTGACACGCAAAGCCGGATTTTTAACGTCTAAGTTCACAAGGTAACAATCCGTAAAATGTTACCCTACCCGGACTCCGTGCCAACCAGTCTTTGTTCTTACACTTAAATGTCGCGTGCTTTAACGTAAGCGATGTTTGAACTCATTAGTCGAAGATAAAACACGAGAACCAATGAAAAGACAAACAGCAGTCTACTAAACACAACATAGAAAAACTAAAGACTGAGCAACATGAACCGCATCAAAACCAGGTTGATTTCTGGTGCTTCTACATTATAACTTTTAGTGTTTGTCTAGGTTGTCACTTTAATGACAGGGATGAATTGATTGTTTCGGCATTACATTCTTGATACGTCATTTTGTATAAGATAAATACTTCCGAGTTATTCATTTATTATGTTCAGGCTCAACTAAAAAGTGCATTACTTGTAAAGGAAAAGTTCCAAGATACCAAGGTCACACTCAAATTGTAAAAGTTGAAATATAACCCTTAAACCTAAGGTAATAGAGGAAGAGACAAACAATAGTCAATAAGTGTATACTATAACACGATATATTGACAGCACGAACCCTACCGATGCGGCATGTATTCAATATAGTTATTAATCATTCCAATCGTTCTCCTACACAGTATGGTATTCGTTTTTTCTCCTTTTATAGTGTTTTTCCAAGAACATTATGGAAGAAAAATAGCAAAAAAAGTAAAATAACAAAAATACGAAACTCAATGGAAAGTTAAAGACAGAAATTCCTTATCCAATGGCAAAATCAAAAGCTTAAACACATCAAACGAATGCAACTGTCATATTCCTGACTTGGTACAGGAATTTTCTTAGGTAGAAATTGATGGATTTATCCTGGTTTTATAGCTAGCTAAACCTCTCACTTTTATGAAAGTCGCATAGAATTCCATTATATTGACAACAATGTGTGAGCAAAACAAACAGACATAATAGGTAAAAATCTAAAAAAAATTGGAACACAGCAGTCAACATTGTGTTATAATCTTAATTGTTAAAATTGTTTCAAAACAAAAAAATACTGAAATGCAGTAGGTACATTTTTATTACGGGAAAAAAAAACCCGGATAACAATAATAGTCTCATTGAACGGATATGCAAGAATATGACAAACTTTTTCCAGTATGCGACTGGATCTGTCATTCACATGATAATGAAGATAATGATAATATTCATACATTGAAATATCTATTATTTCAATAATAAATTGACTTTTGACTTCTGTACAACAATCCATACACTGTTAATTCATTCTTTTCATATTTGATTACAAAATGAAAGTGTTAAGAATTCCTTTGCTTACTCAAACAGTCAATTGCACTGTCATTATACACTAAAGATTCGCATATACTGACTGTTCTTCTAGGTAATCTTTGATACACTTGTAGCAGTACTCGTACTGATCCTTAAAACATAAAATATCCTCATTATACGTGGCTCATTTTCATGAATAACTATGGGACGGTATTATTCTATGCTCTGTTGTTTAGAAGTTGTGTTTTTAATTTTTGATAGATACATGCTCATGTTGGAAAAGGCTTTTAATGCATACTAACAAATATTTTGTTTTTCAGTAATTAAAACACAACTAAATATTCATAAACAGATATGCCCAATAACTGTCCTACATTCTGTTGACTTTTTCTAATTTATTTCGTTTCCATATATTCAAGTTTTTCACAGACTGTTTATGACGTCTTTACACTAAATCCATTGGATGTGTACTGATCGATTTTGTCTAAGAGACAGTATTGTTCATTTATTAGCTGAGATGGGCTTAGAACTAGCTTTCAGTACATGTAACTTGAGTACTCTTAAATCGGTAGTTTTAATCTTTAGTCTTTATGTTGTTTGTGCTTTGTGTCGATCTGATGTTGATACGCGTGTAGTTTGTTTTTATATTGTGCTGTTACACTAATGTACACATAATTAGCTTGGGTATTGAAAGAAATTTGAGAAGTAAACAGTATTCAGTCAGCTTGCAGGTGACCTGATTGACCGGATTATCTTCTTTGATTACATAACAATTATGTAAACAGCTCGGTGATTTCAGATGACAAAGCCGGTTTTATGAGATTAAATTTGATTAACCAAATACAAAAATACCGGCCGGTATCCGATTTAAAGGGGTGGCCGGTTTTAGAAGGTTACATGGCCATTTAATGGAATACAAATCGCCCGGGACTTCTTGATTTGGCCGGTATGAGGGGAGAACCGGTATTCAGAGGGGCCGGTTTAGAGAAGTTTTACTGTAGTTTGTTCTTATATTGTGCTGTTACACTAATGCTCCAGGTTAGATGAAGGATGAAGGCTTACAAACATGTTTACCCCCCCGCCCCCAAAATATCCTATATGTGCATTTCTCAAGTCTCACCAATTCAGTAGTTATAGTTAGTTTATGTCTATCATATTTGTTATTCATTTATTGTATAGAACATAAATCAAGCAGTTGTAGTTTTTTTTTTTGTTTGGATTTTTTTTTTAAAAAATCGTTTCGAAGCCTTTTATAGTTTACTCTACGGTAGTCGTTCTGTTTTTTTTTTTAAGACTAAACGGTGACTAACGCGTACATCTACTTCATTTTGGTCTTTGGTCGTTGTTGTCTTATTGTCAAACATACCACATCTTTTTTTTTTAAATGAATTAGTATATGGGTAATGGTAATTTGGGAAATGTAACATATTTTTGTGTACTACACTGAAACGTTAGGTTGTATAATGTAAGGTTGAAACATATTTGTGTGAACTTTTACTTAAAACGTGATGTTTGTGTAACCCTGACAATAGTATGACAATTCCGTAATATGGCTCGATAGCTGCTGTTGTATTTATGTGTTTTATATTGATTTATGTCCTTGCAAACTTACAAAATTTGTCACAAATTCTGGTCGCCGAATTTGTATTGTTCTTATAACTTGGAACACATCGACTTGATCATCTATCTTCATTTTCTCTAAAATCAAACTTAATGCAACAAACAGTCCACTCTGTGTTGCGCCATTGCTGGAAAATACATGGACATGTTGATTATACATACATTGCTCATTTAACAAATCCGCGATAATGTTAGTAAATAAGGAAAGTGAGAGAATGTATGCATTTAACATGAAAGTAATTAAATATCAACACTATAGCTTATCTCTATCAAAATATTGAAAATAGGGGAAATTTGTTTTTAAAGTGCAAAGATAACAGACACTATTATGTCGTCTAATTGTAATGTTTTAACATGTTTAAGGCGATAATTTTCAACATACATTTTTTATATGTTTTTCGTCCATAATATTTAAAATGAGGAAAACAACGATATAGAAAAATTAAAGTTATTTATTAATCTGAAATGGTGAATTATTGTTTCAATAAACTAAAACCGAAATTTCATGTTAGAATGTCTATTGATATGCAATTCCACTATTTTTCTATTTAGCATAACAGAGCTAACATTGTTGCTATTCAAGACTTTCATTAATGAACGAACGTTTATTAAGGAATATGATAGCATATTTCATAAACAATACATGATTATGTAACAGTATTGCAGTTTAGAATTGTTTTTTTCGAAGTCTGTTTTGTATTTACGAACAACCTCAAGAGGTGGGCTTGTTAAAATACCTGCAAACGACAGTCACTGGACCTGTGTGATGTTTTCGTTGATCAATCACTCTTTGCAACAGTGCCAGCATGTCAGCTGTAGAAGGTAGCGAAGAGTTGCCACTTTCGCATTGCTCTGCGCAGAACACACGTATAGATCTTTTATCTTGTTTATTCTTAAACATACAAAAATGAAATCAAATTGTAGATACTTTCCTTCTGTTTCAGCATAGTGTATAGTGGGTAGTAATGTTTTCATTACAAGAAGATAAATATACTTCAGCTGTTTATATGTATAATCGTCCTTAACATGCATAAAATATTTGCAACTGGACGTTAAGCAAACAAAAAATAATCACTCGATATCACTTTACGTCCTCTCAGCCGAGCAGTGTCATTGTTTTTTGTACAAAAATGACATGTTTACTACATATTAACTATAAAAATATCCACGTTTTCTCAGGTGTTATACCGCTGGCTTTGTCCTTTAAAATGTATAAAATGTTGTTTCTCTGTACCAATTTTGATATAATATGCTGTGAATCAATTCTCTTAAACCTGATATCTATGATGAGCTTCTTTACAACATTGGGTATGGATTGGTACAAGAATGTCTGTCATAAGTAAATGCTTATTTGCTAAGTGAATTACAACAGATGCGCTCAATTTTTTTTTCTACATGTTTCTTATTAAATAAATATAAGTCCCAAGCTGTGCTATATTACATTATCAAACTAGTGATCTTTTATAAAATTGCAAAGTGTAATGTTTCAATTCGTCGATTAGATTAAAGGACCATCAGTTATTCCATTGCTCGTACGTCACGTCGTCTGTTGAATTTTCGTTGTTTATGACGTCTTGGTGTACGCTTTGGAACATTCAAACCAGCATGCAACAAATAATATCATGTGTGTCCTAAACATAGACAAATAAACAATTCTTCTGTAGTTTAAAACTAATCTTATTATCTTACCACTCGTTGAACAATAGAAAGTTGAACTTCTATCGGTGTCTTATCAATATCAAGGTCAATGTTAAAATTTTCAAACTCCAGTCTTTTCTCTGTTCTTGGCCATAATGGAGCATCCTTAAAATAAACCGAATTATGAAATTGTTATTTCAGATTGATAAGTAATAGTTATCCCATGAGGACGCGGTGTGTCAGTGTAAGATCATCCCCATATGGCCGGAGGCCAGAGGGTGATCTTACACTGACACAACAAGTCCGAATGGGATAACTATTTTACATCCCAGCTGTTCTAGATAAGATGTAAAACCATTTACGCTTCATAAAATCTAGTTTAGAACGCCACACAATAAATATAATATACTTTATTTATTTCTATATAGCATATACGCTTAATGAACCCCGGACAAATTGTTTAAATATGTTAAGCATGTTAAATTAACACAGAGTTTTTATCAAGTCGTCCTGGTGTAGGGGTATGGATCGTGGTTCTATATGCTACAGGTCTTGAGTTCGAATCCCAGCATAGACACTGGATTTTTACTACATAAATTTTGATAGTAAGTCTTTTCCGTATAAGTAATTCTAAGTTTTATTGTGGATTTGTCATTCCCGCCAAAATGTTACAGAACAAGGAAAAGCATGCAGAACAAAGCAACTCAAGCTAGGGTAATCTGGTAGGGGTGATCCGACTCAGATCACCCCTGGTAGAACAAAGGAGCTGGGATGTAAGTATTGAATACTATTTTATTTACTTGATTCATATATTTATGTGGTCACATCTTTTCAATATATTTAAAGTAATTAACTGTGGACTTTTAAAAATGAATATTTAGACTCAGTGAACACCAGATGACACACTACATGTGACAGGCTAATATATAATTATTTTTTCGTGATTATGTTTAAGATAAGCGTTTAATTAATCTTGTTATCATTATATAATAATATTTATCGTGAACCGTCTGTAATGTGGCTTTAGATTCCAAAGACAACCGACAAACTAATAATAAGCATGAGGATATACCATGTACATGTACTAACGTGTACCAACTACATTACAATGTTACGGAAGCAGTAAGTTTACAATTAAACACTATACACTGAAGACAAAACGAACGGTCCGTTTTGTCCTTAATAACGTAGAAAATAATATGTTGAATTATGACCTGAAATATTCATCGCCAAAAACATCATTTGAACAATTTTGAAAAATATCATAACCTATCAGGTTTTTATTTTTATCTATTCTTAAGGACTTAAAATTAAAACAAGTGAAACTGCTGACTTATATAAATCCTGAAACCAAATTTCAGAAATCCATATGATGTAGTTCCTGAGATTAATGCGACGAAAACTATTCATGGGACGGATGGACGGACTGACGGATGGACTGACGGATGGACAGACAGACAGAGGTAAATACTTATATTCCCACTTTTTAAAGCGGGGGTATAATGAGAATTGGCTATACGTAATTGATAAAGGCTAACCAACAACACAAATAACAAGTAGACGTCAAGAGGTCAACATACGTCGTTATAGACAAAATATGTCTGAATTGTCCCTAGTGTATCAATAACGTTGTAGCTGCATTTAAACTGAAACTATGAAAGATCTGCAACAAACACGAATACCACCAAATATAAATAAAACGTTAATTTGTTTTCAGCCTAAACTTATTATCACAGTTAGCAGTTATGTACTTTTAAATTTTCATATAGAAATGATATTGAAGATTATAGCCTATAGGATATACATTTTCGCCGATTTCAATATTTTATATTGTGTTCGGTGTACATGTTTATCAGTAAACTTTTACTTTTGTGTTTTAAGTAACAGACAAAACGCAATAAATTTCCAGTCTAAATTCATTTTGTTCAACCTGTCTGTAATAGCGGCGCATGCAGACCGGGCTTTGCATATTCTGGAAATAGTATACGTACCACATATAATACATATGTTGCATATGTTGGAAGTCATGAATATGTATACCGTAACGTATATGTTTTGAAACAATCAGACGTAATGCATTTTTAATGCAAAATCATAATAACATTCGGTTAGCTAAATAGATCATATGATAAATATAGAATTAAATTGGCATCAATAAAAGAGAGGCGGAAGACACATAAGGAAATTAGTACTCCAACTGAAAGCTGTATACACACAGACAACGCCATTGCAAAAACGAAAAACGACAAAACGACAAACAACAGTCACCAAAACACAACATAGAAAACGATGGACTGAGCAACGCGAACCGAACCAAAAACCGGGTGTTATTTCAAGCTATTTACTTTTATATATACTGATAGTTACGAATAAAACTGCCTGAATACATCCCATTCTAAAAATGTATGACAATGGTACAAATGTTTAGTGAATATATATTATATTGATAAGATTTACATGTCGTTGTAACTATCGAGATTCGATTAGTTGTTGATGCATGCTACAAAATAGGTATTGTAAACCGTTTTGTTTTTAAACTTAAACAGTTTTAAATGCTAGACACGTTATTTATTATTTTGTCTTATAGACTTAGTGGTGACATAAATTAACAATGTTGATCTTCTTTCTGTTCCGTCATTCTTATTCAAGAACTCCGATGACAATATACGGAACATGTATTTTACGTGGCTAGAAATAGGCGCGTCCAAGTTTTTCATGTATCATTCTGAATTCTGAAATTCAAGGTATGTACTTTCCCGCATGTATTGGTGACTCATTTCATGTTTGATTCATTTATCCTTAAAGTTTGATCATCTTAATGTTTTTGAAAATGTAAAACTTATCGTCAATAAAATTAAAGCCGTCTGATATGTTTGAAGTACTGTTGCTCTTTTCATTTTACAGGTCAATATTACCAGATGACTGTCAGCTATTATGCCACCAACAGTTAGATTTGTGCATATAGTCATGATCGTGTTGTGAAAAGAAATAATTAAATTGTTCGTAATTGCCTCACTTCATTAAGTGTATCCAATAAAACAACAATACTGGAGTCGTGATCATACACCATTGTCCAGAAATCAACCACAGTTTCTTTTAATGGACATTGGGTAACCAAAAAGGCTCCTTGTACTGAGTATCCCTAAAAATAATAAGATTTATATATTTACCTAAAATTACTACAATAATATGCTTTTGAAGAAAATAATGTTGTCGAAATTAGTGCAGTATCACATTATGCATGAAAGATGATTACGCATTCATATACTTCAGAACCATTATTTTTTGCATAGATACTTTTCAAAGGACTACTTGCATGCACGTATTCGGAAACCAAATGTTTTACATGTTCACGTAAAACTTTATATACTTTTTAAATACACCAACACGGGAATGTTGTATGATTCACAATGATACATGTGATACACATATTCATCACAGGTCGATTAGAAAGTGATTGGTAGTCTACAAACTGGTTACACTTAGAAATAACTATTTCACAAGCTTTACTTAATTCGTTCTGTAAACTTGTTTAATGAGACCAACTTATATGACCGGAACACATATTGCATGGTAAATAAATACTGATAACTTTGCACTTACTGGTATTATAACTGCATTTATGTAATTGGTTTTGTTCTTACCAAAGGACATGAGATATGGCCTATAGTCATCATCTACAATGCAAATGAAAATGATCTGAGCAGTCTTGTAAAAACGGAAAAAAACCAAAACAGGAATATGTTTAAAACATAATCCCAAATCAATAGTTTAAGACGTTACATAAAAGCCTTCACTCGTCCCTTATGTTGATACATAGCACCAAAAAATAAAAACGCTGTATCCACATTCGTGATGTTTTGTCTACTTGAGGCATTTTGTATACATGCTATGTCTTTATGCAGGATTTAAAACTTTTTTATCACATGATATCTATTTTTTTTTCGATTTTAAATAAACAATAAAATGTGCGTAAACCTACATCTATGGGATATTATAGCATATTCTTCAATATATCTGCATCAATTATTAAATCAAGTCAGCAAAATGACATTTGTATTCCATTCGTTTAGTTGGTTGATATTGTCTAAAGTTTGTCAGTTTTTATGGACTTACCACTTTTTGCGTTTACGTTGGAGAATTTTTGTCATACTTTTTCCAATAAATTTCTCGCAACAGATGTATTACAAAACATGTCTGTGGAAGCATGTCTCGATATACGGATTAAGACTTAAAAGGAATCAAATTTGTAAGTTTCCGAAATATATCTCTCGTCATCAAATTGCATAATTGCTGAGATCGGCGTTTCGCATTTTTGTGGCACCCCTCAATGAGTTTATTCATTTTGCTTGCAGACAAAATAGCATTCTGTCAGCACTAAGCATTGGATTTATGGCCTCTTATCAAACTGTAAAAGCGTCCGGTCAGAATGAGGACGGTAAATCCGATGACTGGGTAGAGAGAATGCAACGCTTTTTGGTCGTTAAGAACTATCTGGAATATGACAGTTGTTTTCCATCCTTTTGATGTCTTTGAGCTTTTGATTTTGTCATTTGAGAAGAGACTTTCCGTTTTGAATCTTCCTTGGAGTTCGGTTGTTTTGTTATTTCACTTTTTGCAACGAATCTATGAGGGGTCGGAAGGTGGCCTGTTGCTAGGCTAAATTTCTATTCCTATCCAATTCAACAAAAATATTCATTAATATGTTCATTTATTCAAAATGTCGTTACTAAAAATCTGCAAGGCAAACAGTCTTAAAAAGTCTAAAAGAGAGACGAAAAATAACATATGATAAACGATCATGCTCTTGACAAACAGATTGCTTATAATCATTTTGAGCGAGCGATCCTAATTCTAATGCAATTATGGTTCTGATCACAGCCAGAACTTAGTAGTACTTTTGCTAATTGATATTCATAATATGTAAATGAGTATTGGACCACGTGATAATAGTTTGAACTGGACTGGCTTGATATCATTAAAATCTTAAAAACACGGATATTATAAGTTACCCGTCACAGAGTCCTTGTTTATAATCCCTCTGATATTTCCGTAAAGTTGACAGACGGTCAGAATCAAAACAATGAACGCGAATTTAGAGAATTTTTCGTGTTTTCGTGAGTTTATTCTTTTTGAAATAGGGGCATTTTAACTTTACGTGGGAACCTAGAGTTCAACGACTACACATACAAGGTTTGGACTTGCTTATTTTTTGGACATTCAAGTTTCAAGTTTCATCCCCGCAACCTGTTTTTGTAATGACCTTGTTAGCCAATTTTCAACATAAGTTTGCAAATTTGACGTTTCAGCCATTTTAGCCTGTATTTTATACTGCAATGTTAAAAGCCTCTTGCTTCGATTTTTAAAATAGCTCAGGAACCTTGATTTTTGCAACGACAGTCATTATGTTTCGTTTAAATGGTGTATTTTGTTGTGTATATTTATTTTCTGTCCCCGCAACCTGTCTATCACTTAAATTAAAGTTAAAACAGACATTTTTTTTCAAAATTCCCTATCATTTCAATATAATTTCCGTGAACCGTATCCGATTTCTTTAGTATAATATTCAAATAAGCAAAGTGGCGTTGATTTCTGGATATGTTGGATGACGGTAAGCGTAAAATTCTCTATCTCCTCATCTGTAACTAAGGAAGCCGACATTTTAAATTCCGGAATGTATTGACATGTGATTTCTCCAAAAAAACTCACATTGTGCACCTTGAAATCTTCTTTTTATCAAATTGTATTACATTCTGAGGCGGTCAGGAAGCCAGAAAACGCCCGGTCTTTACGTTTACCGCCGGAAGCATACCTATGACGTCACCTAGTTTAGGGGCCAAAGAAGATAACATCAATTCGCGGAATTTTCGTTTAATGAACATTTTACACTGAAATAATGACTTAAATTGAATTATGTATTTATTTTGCATTAGAATAGAGATAACTGCATTTTATTAATTTTTAAGCTTTGAAGATGTCCATCGGTAGATTAACTGTCGCAAATATCCGTTTATGTGTCTCCGCTGCGCGTCGCCAGGTAAACTCAATTTGCGATACTAAAACTAAAGATGGAAGTCCGCAATGCTTCAAATACAATACAGTTATCTCTTAATTCAATTCATAATCTAACACGTTAACAATAATTTATTTACCAATCGGGAGCGGATTTGCCAAATGTTCCACAATGATTTACGACAGTCGTTAATTTGAAAAGTATCGGTTAAGTCAGTGAATCAACTTTTGGTCGCGTCTTTGTTGTGGTCCTTCGTTTTTAAATGATATTAAACAGGCAATCAAGGAGGCTGGAGCTTTATAATTTAATACGTATTTTTAACTGTATTATTGATGATGTTGCTGACGTTTTGAAAAAAAGATAATATTGAGCAATCTTAAATTATCCAAAGGAGATTGCAACCAATTATTACCACTAAAACCACGTTTTTAGCAGCACATTTGTTTAAACGATTTTAAACAGGTAGTACTTGCGCTCTTGTTTACTTTCAAAATCATGTAAGTAGAATGATTATTATTATTTATTAGAAAATGACAGCAAGATATAAAGCGTCAGATTACTATATGCTTTCATTAAAAAAATTTAAAACCATGTATTTACATACTAGATATCTTGTGGTGCTGATATGCCTCCTGTGTAAACTGCATATATTGTTTTCTTAACAAAATTTTCTCTGACTACATTGCACTACCGTGTTAAAAAAAAATATAAATTAAATGAAAATATACACGTCTATAAGATAAATAATAAAACATGATATATATTCCATACACTTACGTGGTAAAATAGAATTTACTGCATTCTTTGAAATGTTCTCTTCGAGTCTTGCAGATGTGAAATTGTCAGCAGAGTATGAGGGACGAAGACTTTGCAACCTCTATTAAAACAAGTATGGTGTAGTGTTTTCCATTAACATACAATGATTAAAAAAACATATGACACAAAATTGTATGTATAAATATGTATACTTTATATATGCATACATAAAATGTACATTATTGTTTAGGGGCCAGCTGAGGCCCGTCTCCGGGTGCGAGATTTTCTCGCTGAAGACCCATTTGTGGCCTTGTGCTGTTTTCTGCTCTTTGGTCGGGTTGTCGTCTCTTTGCCAAATTCACCGTTTTCATTCTCAATTTTATAATATTAATATCAACAATCTCTACACCTACATGTATCTATGTCGTCTCGAATATAGAAAATCCGATTATTTTCAGGTTTTCTGTGTCATTGGGTTGATACCTTAATGTCGTATTGCCCTAATCTCCCTTACTTCTTGTGGCTTATTTGAGAATTGTTTCCTCTTTTAAAAACTACAGAATTATCAATGTTTGTATTCTTCTTATCAAGAACAAAGATATTGATACTTTTGTACGTAGATTTTAACGATTATTACTAATTTTGCATCATCTTGAGTATGACTTTTGCACCCACATATTTGTGTTGAGAAAAATTTTCAGTGTTTTCGTTTACTAGTACTATGCTTGACATTTTTGCAAATATATCATTATTTTAAAAAGCATAAAAAAACAACGCAAAACAAAACATAAAGCAAAAAGATTAAACAAAACATTCCACTCACATTACTTTTACACAGAAACTATTCTGACAGTTATCTTTTACACAAAATTAAAGCACACAAGATTCTTAGACACGTAGTTTCGGTTGCCATTGAACGGCAGTCAGTAATTAATTTTGCTAATACCAGTCTATCACTGTTTTATTCTCAATTTTTTTTCTGTTCTTTCTTGTCTTTCTATATTTTTGTTAGTGGCTATCGATTATGGTTATTTCAACTGTATATACCTGAAACTCTAATCGGTATGTCTTTTGATTTTGTGGAACTTTGTTATTTTCTTGTTCTTGAACGTAACTACAGAAATCATATACTGGAATAGATGTATCTGGCACGGTAAACAATTCTTGCAATGTTTCAAAGACAGCCTCGTATTGTTCCTACAAATATAAAACTAAAATTTGAAAGCAATAGATATGAGTCCTCAACTAGTATTGTGACGAACAATCATGTAATTGTAAGACACTATGATTTGATAACCAATATTTAAACTGTTAGTATAAACTAGAATTTTGATAAAAATATACAAAGATACCAGACACGAATTTCAAGTACACATGACTTGCCTTTCGTCTACATTAGACTGATCTGTTGCTTTCATAGTTGGAAGGGCAAATCAAAAACCAAGCCGAAAAGCATAACAAATGGAAAAATTTCAAAAATTTTGTGCCAAATACGGCTTAGGTAATCTATTACTGGGTAGAAAAATCCTAATGTTTCGACAGATTATGTAAAAAGTAGATTACAGAAAATAAACACATCAATGATACTTCATCTCAACACAAAAGTGCTGACTACTGTGCTACTGATACGATCAGAAACAATACGTATAGCACTACAGGTATCAGAAAAATATCTTCAATCTAACATATTACAGTCAGACAACGGGTATTCCCAGCGGTTTGAAATTATTAACGTGAGTTATTACCTTCCAATTGTGCATTTCATAAATTAATTACAACAATCAATCAAAACCCACTGTTCCCAATGATTCACACGATTAAAACAAACTGATTTATCCATGATTTTGGGGATGTTTTTGTACCCAAAATCGCTGTTTACGATCAAAACTTTATAACAAATTTCATGGTTTTCATTGATAAGCAATACTTGCATGTGTAGGCATCAACTTTCGCTTCAATATTTCTATCTGTTTATAGTATCTTGGACTTTTAATGTAGTTTTTGTAGTGTGTTGTGTTGTTTTAGTATAACAACTTGTGAATTAAATACCTTGTCATTCGTATTTATCATCCATTCATTTATCTTAGGCCGAGGTAGTAAGTTATTGGTCATACATTTCCCGTTTATGCTTACTATATTAGCTTTATTTGATGGATAGTTTTTTGGACAGCCGACCATACATTTATTGACTTTTATACCTCCAAATAGATAATTATTGCATTATTTTTTTCTATGGCATAAAATTTTATCCAGTCGTCATAATTGACCGAGTGGTTTCAAATAAAAACAAATCAGGCATTGTTTCATTATTGATATGTTAAGTTGCTAAAACGGTTAATGAACTAATAAAAATTTAAGTTATGAATGTACTGCAACAACTATGTAATAAATAAAGGATTACGTTGTATTTTAAACTGGAAAGTTTATTTTTTTATTTCTATATTGTATCGTATCTTTACTAAAGATTTAACTATTAAATATCGTATTCAACTTACAAATGTTTGAATCATATTCATTCTGTCCTTCCGCATAATCTTCACATATTCCTTGACATCAATATAACCAACTGATTTTCCATGTTCGTATAAGGAATCTATTGCAATAAATGTACCCGTTCTGCCTATGCCTGCACTAAAAAATCATTTCAGAAACATTTTCAATGATAAGAATTGGTTTTTCTACGATTATATTGCAAGTAAACCAACAGTATAACATATATTGTGCGACTTCTTTGGTACCTTTCAAGCTGATTAATTGGCATTAGTATTTCTTTTTTAACACACTATTCAGCTACGCTTTCTTGTTGGATTCTTCGGAAAAGCAACGGCTGAAAAAATGAAATAATAATAATTATCAAGGATTCGCTATATTTTCTCAGTTCGAAATTTTGTAGCTGTTTTTGAATTTAACTGTTAAACATGGCATGTGCTGTTTTAAATATGGTATCAGATCATCGATGTCCTTTGCATTTGTTTTTTTGATTTTATGTACACAGCAGTTGCCTCATATAGATATTAAATTACCTGCAGTGTACGAGAAGTGGTCCAGGCTGATCACAGCTCATATTCGTGACTGCTCTATAGAAATTCACCAGCTTTATACTGTCTGGAACACCATGATCAGGCCATTGTGTAAAGTGAAAATGATGAACCTTTCGTTCGTGTTTTTCCTGTAGAAGAAAAAAGCAAATTATTGAAATGCTTGACTGTGAAAGCACTACGTCATTCTATTGTCAACATATGTACTGCACTGACTTTTTGTAGACAGCTTAACTCCTTTAAACGTTAACAAATGATGACAAAAACTACCACTAGGGCTCCGTTTACTGGCATGTTGTCAAAAACCGATCGAAGAATTTGTATACACTTTATGGTACAAAAAAGTGAAAGTAATTTTGATAGAGAGTTCTTGTTTAGTTAACTATGATATAGTGGTTGTAGTAAAGGCGTATATTTAAGCTGGTTTCTCATAGATAAACACGATGTTTAACAATTGCCTGCGAATCAGCATTACAAAATTGACACTAATCAAAACAAAGTGTAAATTACCAATTTGTGTCTAACTTTTATCAGCCTGTACATGTATACAGAGTGTTCCTTTTCTACATCCATGGTTAATATAATTTTGTCTACTATCAATGGCTTGTTAGTTGTCTGTGGCCAATACTGGTCACATTTTTTCTGCAAAGGTACAGTAAGATATGTTCATTTAGTGATACTGTTCGTTTTAAATAAAGATAAATCGTTATCATACGACTAAAAAGGCATATGCATGTCGTTAAGACAGCCGTTAGCTCAACAATATAATCCGCATTTAGATATATATTCATGGTCTTAAGTTATTGACAATGACAAGTGTCGATGCCAAACCTAACAAAAACGTTAAGGTAGCATGTGTGTTTCTGACATATACATGTTGATTAAAATAATATTCAAAGTTGTGGCATCCCAATTGAGGATAGAACAGTACAGATTTTGTTAAAATCAATCACTTACGGCCGAAACGTAATGTCTAGTCCCTCAAACCAATGACTTGTATTTATATTCAGGAAAACAGTCATTTTTCTCAAACTTCGTTCTCAAGAAATGTCTGCGTAAGGTCAATAAATGATTCCATTTAAAGAGTCGATACCAAAACAACGAAAGTTTCCAGATTTTGGTTAGAACTAATTTGTTATTCATAACAGTAATTAGTTGTTCAATGTAATCAATTTTCAGGTTTGCCAGGCAGCAATTCCCTGTTTGACAATACTTTCATATCGTTTTGTTTTTCTCACTGATCATGGAAGTAAAGTCAAAACCTTAACGCGGCAAACTTTGATCTATATTGGGTGCTACTCCATTTTTACTACTTCAAAATTATTTAAAATTAACAAGAAAGTAAAAATTCGTTTTTAATCCTCTAAATTGACTTCAAAACTCAAATATTCAATATCTTAATGATGTCATATACTTTTCCTTCTTCCTCCAGTTGGGTGACCATCACTATTTTGTCAACATTTTCCTGCCATATCATATGCCAGAAATCTCTCACTGTATTTTTTTTGGGACCTGAAATCATAAAATAAACAAGCAAAATAGACCATGAATGACATTTGCACCAGTCGTTCAATGTGTATTCTGTTTTCTTTTTAAACATTATCAATATGCATGATATGACTGGACAAGGTTTGTAAGTTATTCTCTATTCGTGTATTGTTAACTGAACAACATACATAAACAGCCATCATCTGAAACTGTTTAAGACTCGCTGGCAGAATGACTGTACATTCTTAATTCGGTATAAGCATGCATCAATTTGGTCTGCATCTAAAACTGTTTAGCATGGAATGGCAAATTGCTCTACATGCAATAAAAAACATCCCTGCTGATGGTTTTTTCTAATTCTATATATGCATACAGTCACATCACAAACTAACCTCTAAATAAGAATAATCCAAATGTGAAATATGAAGTATGTATCCGAACTTTCAGCTTCTCGAATTAAAAGTCATTAACTGATAAAAGAAAACAATTTAGATTTACAATGTAGTTTACTGAAAAGCAATTTTACTGATTTTGAAAACTAGTATTGCAACATCTTGTTTAACACACTAGGATACATTCTTTTCACTCAGATTTTGGTGAGTAAAGGGAAAGAACCATTTTCAGAACATGAATTCGGGTAATGGTAAATGTCATCTGCATGTATGGTCATGTGATTATGATATATAATATTATAACAGACATAGAAAGAGAGTGTGTAATGACTCTTGTAGCAGATTAATTTTTTAAGCTTGATTTCATCTATTGCCATTATTCTCGGTTATACTTTTTATATTGTTTTGGAATTTAATTTGATTTTCTGGTTGCTTTGATTCGAACGCCATTGGTGTGTGCGTTTAGTAGGTTTTACAAACTTTTTGTTTTTGTTTTGTTTTCTGTATACTATTTTGACACTGTTCGTAATGACAAAAGGGATTGATACGAAAAGTAACGACTGTAATTCATATGAAATTAGGCAGTACAATTCATACCACGGCTTTGCGTCATTGCAAAAACTATAACAAATACATTTCAGCCATATACTGGCTCAATTAACGTTCCATTTATGATAATGATAGCAATTTATCAAATTGAAAATACAACTACAATTTTGAGAACGTGATTTGAATCAATTTATGATTATTATAATGACTATAAAAAAACAAGAATGTGTCCATAGTACACGGATGCCCCACTCGCACTATCATTTTCTAAAATAAAATCATATCATAGGGAACATGTGTACTAAGTTTCAAGTTGATTGGACTTCAACTTCATCAAAAATTACCTTGACCAAAAACTTTAACTTAAAACTTTAAACTGAAGCGGGACAGACGGACGGACGAACGAACGAACGAACGGACGAACGGACTGACGTCCGAACGGACGCACAGACCGAAAAACATAATGCCCCTAGGTGGGGCATAACAATTGTGATAATACTAGTCTGAAACAAAGTACAACAAAAACTGGTATCTTCCTTTATACATGTTATATGAGATAAAACCATTTTTTTGTTAATTTGATATACAAACCTTGTGTGGCAATGTACGCCTTTTCTTTATTATAGCTCTGCAATTTAGATATATTTAAATCTGTTATTGGTTCATACAGATTATTTTTAAAAAGGTAACGCTTCATATCTAATCATTTTAAGAAGGTAACGCTTCGTGACTAATTAGTTTTAAAAAGGTAACGCTTAATAAATGATTATTTAGAAAAGGTAAATATTATCATAACATAAATAATCAACATTGACAAGTCATAACATTGACAGATAAATATTACTGAACCTAAAGTACCATGATTGCTAATTTCCATATATTAGGCTTTTGGCCTATTTGTTTGGGGGGATTGGGGGTGGCCCGGGGGTAAACTTACCCAAAGCAATTGATGATGGTTTATATGAACTTCCTCTAGATACAAAAATTAATATGAACTTTACTCGGTTACAGACATGCATGATATGTTTTTTTTTTTTTTTTTTTTATTTCATTTTTAGTCTTTAATACTGTTATTTTTAATTATTTTTTATTTGTTATTGATTTTAAACTATTTAATATATATGTTTTATAAATTCAAAGGTATGTTACATGCACTTTATGTTATAACATCTACATTGTTATTCCAACCTGTATATATAGATACAATTAGGAACTTACGTCGATGTAATTTGCATTTATGTAATCCGATTTTGTATCTCCTTTCAAAACTACTCTGGAGTGGTCATCTGTAATGAAATCATGGTTTGTCGCTATGTTGATACACATTTATTTTCTAGCATAAATTATATATATTTTGTGTATGGGACCAACAATACTAATTCAATTTAAAACACAAATTATTAATTCATAATGATATGTATCAATAGAGTGTAGATGTCAAAGTTCGACCGTTTAAGCTTTCTCAAGTCTTTTTTTATTTTTCCAAGGTTACTGTTATTTAAAACCATGGATATGATTTCCAAGTACACAAATGAATAAACTACTATAAATTTGAACATGGTATTTTCCTACATTAATCTTCGTAATTAATATTTTTCACTCACATGGCCATGTCGACAAAAATCTATTTTTAGCTTTATTTTCTTCTTTTGATCCCTCAACATGAGCATGAATTAGACCTTTTGGGAACATCTGTAAAATATATTATACCCCGTTTTACTTATTAATCAAGTATATGCCAGTTTAAATGTCCCATTCTGTACGTTTTAATTATATTCTGGAGCATAACATCAATTCAATTCAATTCAATAATCGTCAAATGGTTAGGTAGGAATTAGTTATTCATTAAATTTAATAATACTATGCTGAAAAAGGTTTTATGATAAATAATACAATTAATTATCTAATTACTAACACAATTTTATATTAATAAGTATTGTAATTTTCATTGTTATTAAATAATGTAATATCAGTATCACAAACCTAATCTTGAACTCTATCCTATTTTTTGGAATTTTTTAGAAATTTACCTGTGACGTCACTTTTGTGCGTTGATCTATTCGGCTGACATACATTGGGTTGTTCTGTTGTGCTGTTTTTTATGTGCTGATCTAGGTTGTTTTACGTATTCGTTTTTATTCTGTAGTTAGTCACCACTTCGGTGTTAACATGTATATCAATTATATGGTCATTTTTATATTTTATAAATTTACTGTTTTTTCTTAATATGTTCTGTACCAAGTCAGGAAAATGGCTATTGTTATCTTATAGTTCGTTTCTGTGTGTGTTGCATTTTAGTGTTTCTGTTGTGTCTTTGTTCTAATATATTGATGTGTTTCCCTCAGATTTAGTTTGTAACCCGGATTTGTTTTTTCTCAATCGATTTATGAATTTCGAACAGCGGTATACTACTGTTGCCTTTATTTAATGATGTGTATAATGTATAACTGCGTTGTCTTGATAGGTTTAAACGAGTACTCATAACTCTAAATCCGACTGTCTCTTTTGGGGAGATTGAGATACGTTATATTCTAAGAAGCTCTCTGAGATATCTTAAAAGTATCAGTAGGTAATCTTTCCCCTACGAATATTCATATATTTTAAGCAGTTATCACAGTCGATCCTATTTAAAAATAAACCATAAGGTCTTGTGCTTGGGATACTTGTCGATACTCGATCACGTATTGTATATTATGACTATTTAAATGCGTCATATATTTATTTGGAGGACGTCATTCGAAGTATACTAAGTCATCCTAAAAATCTCCTTAAATTCGAAGTATACTAAGATATACTAGAAATGTCAGTAAATTCACAATATTGCAGCAACCATATTGGAGGCGACAACTAATAAGTATCAAACTAGTATGATTTTTTGAGGATGATGCGGCTTAGTGTAAATCAAAGATAATGTATCTCAAACAAAATAAAAAGAAACTAGTATAATATCCAAAACATTACATTTCGCTATAAAGATTAGATATTTTCACTCACACATTCCAAAAGTGTAGTTCTTTAATTTTGGCATATATGCAATTGAACTCGAATTAAAAGGATAAAACAAAACCAGTTCCCCTTAATACCTCGACTTTTACCAGAAATACGACAGGGAGGCTCCCCAAGAACAAAGGATTGCATTGAAACTTCCATACGTGAATATGAATAAAATTATGTGGGATATATCTCGAAAGACATCAATCCGATGACCACAATCATCAAAATACATTTTGAGGTTAACACAAGTTCAACACAAGCATGTTTTTAGACAATATGTCAAGCTCTAAATCGTCTCAAAGTTCATAAACTGTTGTAAAGGCAAATTACAGAAACTACGAACGATCTGCCATCAATACCAAATTCTTAAAAAAAACTGGGAACATTACTAGTACTGATATGTAGGATAATTTAATCACCACCTACTATATATGTCTCCCTGAATATATAGTCCTCCCATCCTAGAGAGTTGTGTTTACAAGGAAACATATTTCTAAACATAATAAGTTATGTCACCTTGTAAAACATTTTATTGACGCCAATAAGATTTGGCTAACTTTATGGAATACAAGTGTCATAAATAACAACGAATAATATATCAGTTTCAGTATTTGTCACCGTAGTCCTTCAACTTAAGTTACTCGTTTAAGACTTAAGATATATCATAGCTAAAAAAAGCACCTAATTTTAATTTTTAATATAATAAGGCCGGTTGAAAGTTGACCAGGAACTCCTTCCATTCTAAACATATGATTGTTGATGGTTAAATTAAGGTCGTCTAACTTCATTTAATTAATTTAAAATCAGATATATCAAAACGTTTCATACTTTATGACTTACCAACAAAATGATACAAATCAACAGAACTTGAATTGTCCTGAAACAAAGCGATTGGTGGCACATACTTACCTTTCCGGGCCTATGTTTGTATCTCCAATAAAGGAGTTTGTTCGTTTCATTTGCATGCTTTTTGTGTCATATCGCTGGTTGTGACAATTATATATAAACCAGGTATATCCTGTTATAATGAATACCCACCCATGTCGTCTTAACTACTTACACGCTGTCCCTTTAATAGGGAAGTGGGAGTAATCAATGGGAGAATAAAATTCACAAGACAAAGGAGACCGACAAGATAATTGCAAAAAACAAACGATAATTATTAGCTTACAATACACAAAATCAGAACAAAAGACTGAGCAACACGATATATCAATGCAAATTTTGAGCTGGGTATTAAATTTGCAAAAAAATCATTTTGGCCGAAATGTACGTATATGTGTATTAAGAAACACGTTGTGTACACGTTATCATTTTGTACAAATTATAATTCGTCCAAAAAACTTGTACAAATTATAACTTGTGTTTGGATTTTGTACAAATTATAATTTATCCAAAAAGTGCTGGTACAAATTACAATTTATACAAAGTTTTATATTGACTAATGGAGTCGTGAATTCAACAAGAGAACATGTGTTCTACCAACCCCATATTCATTTTCAAAGCCATTGTCTTTACGCTTTTCATTTATCACGTTTGACAGGTCCTCAATTTGAATTTTGTACTGACATATATCATCTTCCGAAATAACATTGCCATATACATTGACATTCCCCTCTTCCTCTTCATCTGGCAAATCATTAGAACTTATATCAAATGTTTGGATTTTTCCATCGTGCTTTTCTTCAAACGATAGTCGTATATTTTCTGAACTTGTAAAGTCGCCTTTCACGTTTTCATACATTACACCCTGATCTGTTGTAGCTGAACGAGTCTTTGTATCTGAAAAATGAGAAACAATATAGGAAGAAGTTTGTTTAGAGACACATTTCTTCAATCAATGAATGAAAAAGATTCTTTATAATTACATCCAAACAATATTATGTTATTTGTTCGCAGGTATTGTATTTTCGTTTAACGTCGCCGCATTCACTAATCTAATTTTTTTAAGCTTTGTAGCTCACAAATTTGTATTTACTTTTCTATGATACAAATTTTAGACTATATGTTTACTGCTTAATCATATATGTTCATAGGTATGCGAGTTGCGTACGTTCTCTAGTTTCTGTGCAAATTCATATATACCATACTGCTTATTTCCTTTTTTTTGGAAGAGAATAATGGTAGGAAAGCATAAATTCAGCTTGAAAACTTGTGTGTACTTCATTTTTTGTGCATTCGTGAATAATTCATTCCTTTAAAAAAAATCAAATAGATCTAAGAAATAACAGATTAAGAAGGACGAGGTTTCTGACTTTTTTCATTACATTGTTAATGTAAAAATTTATATTTTCACTGCAGCTATATGCAACTATTGTCTGGCAAGTTTTATAGGGGTATACGAATTCGGATCTAAAACGAGTTCGGATCTAAAACGATCAAACTAATTTTTCATGTTACATAAAAGGCAGATCGGCCATATGCTTACTTCATTTACTGACTTGTTTCGTTTGGGTAGACTTAGTAGTGTAACAGCGTTATAATACTGACAAATGCGGGTTTTTTTAAGACACACATAATTATTTTTCATTAAGTAAACGTGCGTAAAATATATTTCGATATTTATCTTTAAGATATGCATGTTTCAAGGAAGCAAACGCATGACCTGTAAAGTCTGAGGAATTTTATCCCATAATAGTATATAAAAATTGTACCTTGCACAAAGAAAATTGTTTGAATGATAATCAAATAACTTAACCTCCAACCTTTCAAATATGAACTTTTTGTTTGATTGATAAATCTAAAATAACATGAACTCGTCGAATGTCCCATGTGAAGGTCAAATAAATTACCATACACGTGTTTTTAGGAAGAATTTTTATATAACCAGATTTCTACTAACAACTTTTGGATTTAAATGATATAAATTTATATCAAAGGCTATTTGACAGAATATGAGATTTCCTAAAAAGGTGATGGTCTTAAAAGATACATTTGTTGGCCCCTGAAATTGTAAAAATACTAAAATTATTCAAGCCTTACTAAACATTGTATTTTTTTATAAATGAATATGACAATTTAGTGAAGAAAGGTCATTTAGGATTCCATGAACATGTAGAAATTGACATATTTGGCCTAAAAATCGAAATTTTGCCCATAATCTGGAAAACCAAATAGATATGAATTTTTGAATAACTGGTCAATTATTCAGTAAGGGATTTCGTGAACAAAAATTTAAGAAGACCTTAACCAAGTTCTTTCATCAGTTCATAGATACTAAGATTTGGTTTGGAAATTTTGCTGTACCTTAGTTTGGTTTTATGGTGTGCTGTTACACCATTGTTCAAGGTTTGGGAGGGGAACATTCTGTATGTGCCTGTCTCAAGTCAAGAGCCTGTAGTTCAGTGGTTGTCGTTGATTCATATCTGTCATATTTGTTTTTCGTAAATTGTTTTGTTATAAATTAAGCTGGTAGTTTTCTCGTTAATTTGTTTCACAGTTTTCATGTCGGGCCTTTCATAGCCAACTATATTGTATGGGTTCTTTTCTCATTGTTGAAGACCGTACGGTGACCTGTAATTGATAACATCCACTTCATTTTATCTCTGATGGATAGCTGTCTCACATGTCATTATACCACATCTCCTTGTTTTCATAATGAGCAAAAGCCTCACCCGAAAAAATCATTTAGTCACATGATCACATCCACATCTTCCGTCTTATGTTTTTATTTAGTTTTTTTTGTGGACTTGTTTGTCTCTTCGCCAGCTTCGTTTTTGCCACTATTCCACTTAATCTTGGTTTTTAAATGACCCCTTAGTCTATTTCATCAATCATATATTAATGACACGATCTTATGATGTGGCTTTTTGTCATTTTGCACACAATGCAATAATGATGAAGCTCTACTGCATAAATAGAAATTGCTGTTTGACATGCTGATGTATTACATGTATGAAGAGCTGCCGATTGTCATAATGTAATCGGTTGAATAATAATAAATTTGATTACAGAACTTAAAAGACCAAACAGTGGTCTTATCATACATTTTCATCTCAACCATTGGGTATTAAGTATAAGAATATATTCTATCTTATCTATATTATATCGATGAAAGACATCAAAAAGATAAAAAAAAAATAGGTACTCACTTTCTCTCATAGTTGGATGATTTCTGTGTTTTTGCAATCTAAAGAACCGTCTGTAATATACAAAAGAAAATTGATTTTAATTTCTTGTATAGGCATTAAATAGCATTGGTTGACTAATTTTCTGTTATTCAATGTTCACAAAATGTGAAAATCATTCGAAACATTAAGACTGTTCTACAGCGGTATACTACTGTTGCCTTTTTCTATCCTTATGAAAAGTTGCCCATTGGCTTTTTTTTTTTACTTTTGGAATTTTGTGTTTCAAAGCTAAAACACGTCACAATGAATGGAAACGAAACGCGTGTCAGTCGTACTAAATTATAAGACTGATCACTTTAATGACTTTTTGTATAATCATGTATAATGTTTACATAAAAATACAGTGATACCTTGATTATGTGCGAACAATAAAAATAAATGGATAAGATGGCAGAGTAGTATGGGCAAAAATATGGGGATTTTAATTTAGAGATGCGCTGACATAATAAGTGTATGCTCCCATGTTTTCGTGAATCCCCCTTTGAAATATATGTATTGTCTATCAATTATGAGAATATTATTCTTAGAGGAAAACTACTGAAACTAATAAGTACCTGTAAACGATAAAACATATAATTGCAAGAATCACCACAAATATTGCAGCACAAATTCCTCCTATAACGATTGTAACAGGTCCTTGTTCTTCTAACGGCTGAAAGTCTATAAATATAACAGTACGTAAATAACAAATTATATTGCCTCATGATTTCGTTTGCCAACTAATTTAATATTTCTTTCAAAACTAATTTCAATGTTAATAATAATGCTGATTTATACTAAAAAAAATACTGATTTGTACTTATAAATTATTTACAAAACAAGTATACAATAAATACGCATATATCAACTATTTTAACATCATCTCTGTAATTACCAGCTTCCTTGCAATGTGGACCACTTAACTTCTCAATACAACCATAAGTACAATTGCCTTCATATATTTCACATGACGTGTTAAAGCAGTTGCTACAGTAACCGATACAATTGTACCCGTAATATCCTTCGCTGCATTCTGAAAAAATCATAAACAGAAGAATATGTTTTAAATTAACTGAGTAGTACATGTGAACAGAAATTCATATATTTAACCCAAATTATTTTCTGGAATGAATCAAATCATTTAAAGTCTCCTTCAACGACTTTTCACTTCCATACATAATTCGATTCATGATAATATATAAATGATTTTGTTCATTCCAACACATACATAGCGGCAATATAGGAATGTCAAGGATGTTAATGTTAACGCTACGGTCACAGAATAACCGCGCTCTTTCGATTATAGTTACAGCCTCATTTCCTTTAATACAATATGATTCCTACGTACTGTTTGCAATGCGTGTTGTCTTTATTTTTGTAAATTGTGTATCAACAAATTACAGGTTGACCTATCTAGTTTCAGAATATCTACGAAGTTTTGAAAGCACTAAAAAAGAAGTATTATACTGTCTTTGACAAACCTTTATTACAAGATTCACCAAACCATCCTTTGTTACATTTCCCGTCAGGACACAATCCAGTAGATTTATTACAAGGCTCAGAGAGACAGTTGCATTTTTTGGCACAGTTTTCACCATAGAACCAGTAATCACATGCTGGAAGTTATATAGAAGGTATTGGAGTTTAAACACATTTTGGAGCTATTGTTAAATTGATCTTTTTGTTAACATATTGAATGTTTTATTAATACTAGGTAATATAAGAGCTACAATATGAATAAGAATATATATTTAAATGTCACAAAGTACAGAAATGCTGACATGGCACAGGGATTACACTTGTGTACATTGCACATGCAGCTTGTTCTTTAATCTTAAACCATTGTGGTGACGTCAGCCTATTCATTTACCGTGGATTCTTTTTCTAGAATCAACGCTTCCTAAATCTGCCGCTGAAATGGACTCACCAAATTATATTCAATTGTTTCCTTTGTGTGTCTAATTTCATTAAGTTTGAATTGGCTAATTTACTGATTTCTGTTCACTAATGGAATTAATTTAAAAACTTACCTTTAATTTTTGTAATGTGTATATGCCTTCACTGGGAATCGAACCCTTCCTTGAAATCTGTTAAGAATGACTGACATCAACACATTGACGAAACCTCTCGGCTACCAATGGGTTACAACTTAGATGTCTATTTTATATATATAAACGTACATCGGACACACAGGGGTTGTGCCTTTATATATACACAATGGGCAGTCGTATAGTATAAGTTGGTAGCCGCGAGGTTAGCATGCTTAAAATCAACGAGTTAAAAGATAGGGATTTGTCGGTTAAGGTTCGAATCCCTGTTTTATCTCTGTTGTCCCAATTCTGTTTTTTTTTTCTAATTTTGCATATTATAGTGGATATTTTTGTGATAATAGAGAGTTTTACCGTTTATTTTTTGGATGATTATTGGCTATTTCACATGTTTGAAACAAAAATGATTACATTCTATTTGTCAATTTTTGTTGTATAAATATAGTATGATTTCATCTGTTTTACTACATAATTTTACAAATGTTTGTTCGCAAATTCCTATGCGAGAAAATCGTGATATGCCTAGAGTGCTAGAAATTTCGGTAACATACTTATTATATATACTTTATCTATGCTCTTTGGTCGGGTTTTTGTCTCTTTGACACATTCCCCATTTCCATTCTCAATTTTATAAGAAATAAGTTCGAACATGTCTTATTTTGTAAAAACAGATAATATTCAGATGCCTGATGATATAAAGATCTTTAAAGGTAGAAGTGTTATATTTGTATTTTGTTAACCAATTAGTTGTGATCTGAGATTTATCAATGCATCGTTGGACACGATAACATGGTTGTTTAAACTCTCTTACAATACCTTCTAATTAAGAAAGGCTTTAATTTTGAAAAGAAATTAACACAATAGTTTAAGTTATAGATACAATGGATAGGCGTAGATTCATGAAAAACAAACCATTCGCCCTCCGGGCTCATGGTTTCTTTTTCAAGAATCCACGCTTATCCATTGTATCTATATAACTTAACAACAGGTGGACAAACTAAGAAATGGCCATACACAGTATTGTTTCTATTGTTAATTCATTATTGATTTCAAAACAAAAACAAAAAACATAAAATTTACTTTTGATAGTACTTACGGCAAACACATGTATTTTTTTTTTATTTATAAAATACATCAATCTAGAGAACACACTATAAATACTAGCTACTAGCTATAGCAATTAATAAATTAAATGAGTAATAACCGAACAAATTAACATTTCATTGTATTGTCCCAAAATAAAGTTTAGAATCTGGGTTTTTTCCTAGTTAAAACGCATATCTAAGATAGCAGTAGCTATTTTTTCACATTTTGTTCACACAGCACCCTTTTTCTTAAAATATATATACAATTTTTGAAATCCAAATATTAAACATGGATTTATACGTTCAGCTATCATCTTACATCAACTTTGCTATACGGAAATGAAACCTTTATTCAAACATTCAAACTAAAAATTGCTGAGCAGATAATACTCTCGTGGAAGAATAATGATCACCATTACGTTGTTTATAAATATTGATATCCGTTCAAATATTCTCAAACCTTCAGTCTAGAAATACCACAATTGGTCTCTTGCGTTTAAATAGAAGATAAACAATTATGAAAAAAAAATTACAATTATCTTAAACATTCCATCAAATATTTATGAAACTTGAAATTGTTTTTGGAACAGAAGACTTATTTCAAAATACATACATTGATTACATTTTGGGTGATTTATATACCCTGGTTTACATTTGTTTCCGACATTGCAGAAGCCGTCAAAACGGTCACAATTGTTCGATATGCATCCATCACATGACTGTGAGCAATTTCTTCCAAAATATCCATGACTGCATTCTAAAATGTTAATGCATAATTGTTTGAACATTTCAATTCAATATTATAATTATTGATGATGATGATGATGATGATGATGATGATGATGATGATGATGATGATGATGATGATGATGATGATGATGATGATGATGATGATGATGATGATGACGATGATGATGGTGATGGTGATGATGATGATGATGATGATGATGATGATGATGATGATGATGATGATGATGATGATGATGATGATGATGATGATGATGATGATGATGGTGATGATGATGATGATGATGATGATGATGATGATGATGATGATGATGATAATTGATGGTGACAATGACGAGGATGACGGAGACGACGGTGACGATGAAGACGATGATGACGATGACGATGAAGACGATGATGTTGACGATGACGATGATGACGACGACGCTGACGATAATGACGATGATGACAATGATGATGATGACGATGATGGTGATGATGATGATGCATTTTTAGTTAATCCAAAACATTATGTTGGTTGAATAATACATACATATATGAACATAAAGTTATGACTTCTAGTGATAGGAATTAAATAATGTATATACAATTATGATTTTACTGTGATGTCTAACGTTTTATATTTTTTTTTTAAACATTTGGTCTCGATTAAATATTAGGATGATGCTTGCACTTTGTTATACCTACAATACAACAATACGTATCTTACCATCAAAGCAGTTATTATCTTTCCATCCTTTTTGACATCCTCCATTACATTCTCCCGTCACATGGTCACAAGGAGGCAAGAAACAGTGCGATGAACATGCGTGGATACATTGTTTTCCAAACCAACCTTCATAACAGGCTAAAACAAAATTAATCAATGATTGGCACCCAAATTACTCGTAAACTGACTACAAAATTTCCTTCCGCTATCTCTTTTTCGAAAAACTAACAATGAAGTGTGTTCTTAAAAGACTACACGAGTTTTTTGGCGACGAGTTTTTTGGCGAGTTACATCAGATTGTTTTTATCATCAAACCCATTTAACATTTTCTATTTTTTATATGTTGTCTTTATATCAGTTATTTGTATAAAGTAAATGATTAAAACATTTCTAAAAATAGGTGTATAGCTCAAGTATTTATTGTCTGATCCATATAATACGCTTACGTTCGTTGCACCTTTCACCAAACCAGCCATCAACACAACCATGTGTGCAGTTTCCATTAACTAAATTACAAGATCCTATTATGCAGTTTTCTGAACAGTTCATTTCACAGTTCACTCCATATTTTCCAAAAGGACAACCTACATAAGGAATTTGAAAAAAAGCACTTGTTATAATGAGAATTTTAGTAATTTAGAAGTAGACACACTTCTCTGATCTAATAATACATTAAATGATAACAACAATAAATGCTCTGAACTGCTGAATACAATTAAGTATGAACTGATCAAGAATGCAGTTAATACTAAACTAAGATAGGGAACTACCATTTAACTTGAAAGAAGAGAAGGGGGTTCTTGTATTTGGTTTTAATCCTGAATATATTGGTTGTACCATCAACATAATCAAATAATGTATTTGTTATTTTTGCGCGATATGTGAATATATTTTAAGAACTTTAGATTCAATGAACAAATCTGGATTAGACATGTGTTTTTCTTTCTCCCTGAATAAAATATTTGTTCTTCAAATTTTTAACCGGCAAATAACCATAACCCACACTCACCCTTGAGGTTTTTGGACTGTTGTTAGTTTCTTCTCTTGCATTCTATTCATAGCTATTGAAAATTATGATTAATATCTTTGACATTTTAAAAAGCCTTTGATATTTCATTCCTTTTATAGGTCTCCTAAAATATTAACGCTAGGAATGCATTTTTATCAGGCAAAATTTTACTTATAGTTACTTTTTTAAGCTTAGTGTTGGTAGTGTAGTCTCAATGTTTACCGCAATTATGGCTACCCAACTAAGCGTTTGAACAGTCAAATTACCTAGGATTAATAAAGATATGTGACAAGTACTTACCACCAATTTCTATTTCACACAAATCGACTTCGGAATTTCCACTTATAGTAGGTGGTACATAGATAACATATCTGCATACAGCAGATACATGAATATCTTCCGTCGGACGAAGGCCGTGGTATAATACTTTCGCGTCTGTCCAGTCGTCACTTGTGTTTGTACAATATACTGAATAACTGCCAGCATTCAATTGTGCAGACCCTGTGTTCATAAAGTTAATACATATCAATTAAATGTAGTTTATTCTAAAATATCAAATAAACTTTAACATGTTTAACATGTAATTCACAAAACCACTAAGGTCATTTTTGAAAAATACATACAGCCATTTAGGAAAAGAAATAAACGTTTTTGATATATATACATATATATATATACCAAAAAAGTGAAAAGTATATTTTTAACAAATCGCATTTGACTAGCAGGTCGAACAACTGATGTTCTTAAACCCTGCCGACTGTCATGGGCGATTGCCAAATAAACGGATCACAAGATGTAACAAAATAGATCTTATTATTAATATAGTACCAAACAGAAAACAATAAACTTGCGGAAAAGATGGTATACCGCAAACATAAGGTGAAAAAATTTGTACACCATATCCGAATTTCGACAGTTAATGCACCTCATGTTTGTGGTATACCATCTTCTCCGCAAGTTTATTGTTTTCTGTTTGGTATTAAATTAATAATTGAGATCCATGTTACATCTCGTGATCATTTAGTTGGCAATCGTCAATGGCAGTCAGCAAGATTAAGAACATCAGTTGTTCGACCTGTTAGTCGAATGCGATTTGTTAAAATATACTCTTTACTTTTTTGGTCTTTTAGAAAATGTTGTTTGTGCTATATTTAGACCCCTCTACCAAGAAATTTGATTTACATGCACACGTATAAAAATTGCAGTTTTTATCCAACGCAATCATAGGTTTGAACGTTGTTTTCAATTTAGACTTGTTTATAATATTTTTACGTTTGGGCGTATATTATATTTTCCTTCAGGTTTTTATGATCCGTTCATCCTATTTCGACTCTTTAAAATTCAAGAGTCTATCCTAAATTGAGGTAAATTATATGGCCTTCCAAATACCGTTTCGATCCCTAACATCACTGAAGACACATTAATTGTCGAAATCCGGATTTGGTGCACAAATTTGTTCACCTCATGTTTGCGGTATACCATAGTTTCCGCAAGTTTATTGTTTTCTGTTTGGTAATATATTAATAATAAGATCTATTTTGTTACATCTTGTGATCTGTTTATTTGGCAATCGCCAATGGCAGTCAGCAGGGTTTAAAAACATCAGTTGTTCGACCTGCTAGTCAAATGCGTTTTGTTAAAATATACTTTTTCACTCATTTGGTCTTTTGGAAAATGTTGTTTGTGCTTTATTCAGACCCCTCTACAAAGAATTTTGTTTTGCATGCACACGTATAAAAATTGCGGTTTTTATCCAACGCAATCATAGGTTTGAACGTTGTTTTCAATTTAGACTTGTTTATATTTTTTCCTTTGGGCTTGTATTATATTTGCCTTCGGGTTTATATGATCCGTTCATCCTATTTTGACTCTTTCAAATTTCAAGAGTCTATTTCAAATTGAGGTAAATTATATGGCCTTCCAAATACCGTTTCGATTCGTAACATCACTGAAGAGACATTAACTGTCGAAATCCGGATATGGTGTGCAAATTTTTTCACCTCATGTTTGCGGTATACCATCTTTTCCGCAAGTTTATTGTTTTCTGTTTGGTAATATATTAATAATAAGATCTATTTTGTTACATCTTGTGATCCGTTTATTTGGCAATGGCCAATGGCAGTCAGCAGGGTTTAAGAATATCAGTTGTTCGACCTGCTAGTCAAATGCGTTTTGTTAAAGTATACTTTTTCACTCATTTGGTCTTTTGGAAAATGTTGTTTGTGCTGTATTTAGACCCCTCTTCCAAGAAATTTGTTTTGCATGCACACGTATAAAAATTGCGGTTTTAATCCAACGCAATCATAGGTTTGAACGTTGTTTTCAATTTAGACTTGTTTATATTTTTTCGTTTGGGCTTGTATTATATTTGCCTTCGGGTTTATATGATCCGTTCATCCTATTTTGGCTCTTTCAAATTTCAAGAGTCTATCCTTAATTGAGGTAAATTATATGGCCTTCCAAATACCGTTTCGATTCCTAACATCACTGAAGAGACATTAACTGTCGAAATCCGGATATGGTGTACACATGTTTTCACTTCATGTTTGCGGTATACCATCTTTTCCGCAAGTTTATTGTTTTCTGTTTGGTAATATGTTAATAATCAGATCTATTTTGTTACATCTTGTGATCCGTTTATTTGGCAATCGCCAATGGCAGTCAGCAGGGTTTAAGAACATCAGTTGTTCGACCTGCTAGTCAAATGCGTTTTGTGAAAATATACTTTTTCACTTTTTGGTCTTTTGAAAAATGTTGTTTGTGCTGTATTCAGAGCCCTCTACAAAGAAATTTGTTTTGCATGCACACGTATAAAAATTGCGGTTTTTATCCAACGCAATCATAGGTTTGAACGTTGTTTTCAATTTAGACTTGTTTATATTTTTTCCTTTGGGCTTGTATTATATTTGCGTTCGGGTTTATATGATCCGTTCATCCTATTTTGACTCTTTCAAATTTCAAGAGTCTATCCTAAATTGTGGTAAATTATATGGCCTTCCAAATACCGTTTCGATTCCTAACATCACTGAAGAGACATTAACTGTCGAAATCCGGATATGGTGTACAAATTTTTTCACCTCATGTTTGCGATATACCATCTTTTCCGCAAGTTTATTGTTTTCTGTTTGGTAATATATTAATAATAAGATCTATTTTGTTACATCTTGTGATCTGTTTATTTGGCAATCGCCAATGGCAGTCAGCAGGGTTTAAAAACATCAGTTGTTCGACCTGCTAGTCAAATGCGTTTTGTTAAAATATACTTTTTCACTCATTTGGTCTTTTGGAAAATGTTGTTTGTGCTTTATTCAGACCCCTCTACAAAGAATTTTGTTTTGCATGCACACGTATAAAAATTGCGGTTTTTATCCAACGCAATCATAGGTTTGAACGTTGTTTTCAATTTAGACTTGTTTATATTTTTTCCTTTGGGCTTGTATTATATTTGCCTTCGGGTTTATATGATCCGTTCATCCTATTTTGACTCTTTCAAATTTCAAGAGTCTATTTCAAATTGAGGTAAATTATATGGCCTTCCAAATACCGTTTCGATTCGTAACATCACTGAAGAGACATTAACTGTCGAAATCCGGATATGGTGTGCAAATTTTTTCACCTCATGTTTGCGGTATACCATCTTTTCCGCAAGTTTATTGTTTTCTGTTTGGTAATATATTAATAATAAGATCTATTTTGTTACATCTTGTGATCCGTTTATTTGGCAATGGCCAATGGCAGTCAGCAGGGTTTAAGAATATCAGTTGTTCGACCTGCTAGTCAAATGCGTTTTGTTAAAGTATACTTTTTCACTCATTTGGTCTTTTGGAAAATGTTGTTTGTGCTGTATTTAGACCCCTCTTCCAAGAAATTTGTTTTGCATGCACACGTATAAAAATTGCGGTTTTAATCCAACGCAATCATAGGTTTGAACGTTGTTTTCAATTTAGACTTGTTTATATTTTTTCGTTTGGGCTTGTATTATATTTGCCTTCGGGTTTATATGATCCGTTCATCCTATTTTGGCTCTTTCAAATTTCAAGAGTCTATCCTTAATTGAGGTAAATTATATGGCCTTCCAAATACCGTTTCGATTCCTAACATCACTGAAGAGACATTAACTGTCGAAATCCGGATATGGTGTACACATGTTTTCACTTCATGTTTGCGGTATACCATCTTTTCCGCAAGTTTATTGTTTTCTGTTTGGTAATATGTTAATAATCAGATCTATTTTGTTACATCTTGTGATCCGTTTATTTGGCAATCGCCAATGGCAGTCAGCAGGGTTTAAGAACATCAGTTGTTCGACCTGCTAGTCAAATGCGTTTTGTGAAAATATACTTTTTCACTTTTTGGTCTTTTGAAAAATGTTGTTTGTGCTGTATTCAGAGCCCTCTACAAAGAAATTTGTTTTGCATGCACACGTATAAAAATTGCGGTTTTTATCCAACGCAATCATAGGTTTGAACGTTGTTTTCAATTTAGACTTGTTTATATTTTTTCCTTTGGGCTTGTATTATATTTGCGTTCGGGTTTATATGATCCGTTCATCCTATTTTGACTCTTTCAAATTTCAAGAGTCTATCCTAAATTGTGGTAAATTATATGGCCTTCCAAATACCGTTTCGATTCCTAACATCACTGAAGAGACATTAACTGTCGAAATCCGGATATGGTGTACAAATTTTTTCACCTCATGTTTGCGATATACCATCTTTTCCGCAAGTTTATTGTTTTCTGTTTGGTAATATATTAATAATAAGATCTATTTTGTTACATCTCGTGAACCGTTTATTTGGCAATCGCCAATGGCAGTCAGCAGGGTTTAAGAACATCAGTTGTTCGAACTGCTAGTCAAATGCGTTTTGTTAAAATATACTTTTTCACTTTTTTGGTCTTTTGGAAAATGTTGTTTGTGCTGTATTTAGACCCCTCTACCAAGAAATTTGTTTTGCATGCACACGTATAAAAATTGCGGTTTTTATCCAACGCAATCATAGGTTTGAACGTTGTTTTCAATTTAGACTTGTTTATATTTTTTCGTTTGGGCTTGTTTATATTTGCCTTCGGGTTTATATGATCCGTTCATCCTATTTCGACTCTTTCAAAATTCAAGAGTCTATCCTAAATTGAGGTAAATTATATGGCCTTCCAAATACCGTTTCGATTCCTAACATCACTGAAGAGACATTAATTGTCGAAATCCGGATATGGTGTACAAATTTTTGCACCTCATGTTTGCGGTATACCATCTTTTCCGCAGGTTTATTGTTTTCTGTTTGGTAATAAATTATTATAAGATCCATTTTGTTACATCTGGTGATCCGTTTATTTGGCAATCGCCAATGGCAGTCAGCAGGGTTTAAGAACATCAGTTGTTCGACCTGCTAGTCAAATGCGTTTTGTTAAAATATACTTTTTCACTTTTTTGGTCTTTTGAAAATGTTGTTTGTGCTGTATTTAGACCCCTCTACCAAGAAATTTGTTTTGCATGCACACGTATAAAAATTGCGGTTTTTATCCAACGCAATCATAGGTTTGAACGTTGTTTTCAATTTAGACTTGTTTATATTTTTTTCGTTTGGGCTTGTATTATATTTGCCTTCGGGTTTATATGATCCGTTCATCCTATTTCGACTCTTTCAAAATTCAAGAGTCTATCCTAAATTGAGGTAAATTATATGGCCTTCCAAATACCGTTTCGATTCCTAACATCACTGAAGAGACATTAATTGTCGAAATCCGGATATGGTGTACAAATTTTTGCACCTCATGTTTGCGGTATACCATCTTTTCCGCAGGTTTATTGTTATCTGTTTGGTAATAAATTATTATAAGATCCATTTTGTTACATCTGGTGATCCGTTTATTTGGCAATCGCCAATGGCAGTCAGCAGGGTTTAAGAACATCAGTTGTTCGACCTGCTAGTCAAATGCGTTTTGTTAAAATATACTTTTTCACTTGTTTGGTCTTTTATATATATATATATATATGAAGTATTATATTTTATCTTCATCATGTTCATCAGGAACATTTAAGCAAAACTATTTTACAGCCAAAGATGTATAAGGACCGAAACAGTTGAAGAGCTATCTGACGAAAAAGGACCTAGAAATTATAGAAATATCTATTTTCGGTCAACTTTGAATGAGGGCGTTTAAACCTTTTAAATAAATAATAATTTATAAACCGACAAATCGTTATTTTAAAAAATATCAATAAAAGGATATTTTTTCACATGTACTGGTTGTTGAATTTGGTAATATTTCTAAATTAAGAGATTACCAATAATTCAGTTTGTTTCCTTACCATCGTATATATGTGTCACCAACGAGTTGTAATAGGTCTAACGCAACGTGTGTCATTAGTGGAGCGAGAACTGTTGATCCTTCCAGAAAACTTTATTTTAACCCGGATCTTCGTGGGGTAGATTTGCTGAATCTTTCTGTTTTTGTGTCTTTTGTTTTGCGGTCTAGTTTGTACGTTTTTAATTGTGCCTTTTTAAATACATCCAAAGATGCATTACGTCACCAGTGTCTGGCCAGAAAGTTGATGAATCAGGGTTATGTCAAAGAACGTCTTTAATTTTTCTAATAAAAATCATCGGAAGATACCAAGACCTAGTTGATAAATATTTCGTATCAACTTCACAAAAAATACATGATGGTCTTGAAGTATAGATACTAGGAACTGACGTTGTTTATCATCTTAATAACGTGTTATAGTTTTCTTTTATTTGTCTTTGTAAATTATTAACCTTTCCTGCCTAGTTCAAGTTTGGTAATATCTTGTTGGCGTGACTGGGGACTTATGCATCCCACCAATGTGTTCGTGTGATGTGGTCATTTTTTTTTTTTGTATTCTTGTCATTCAGTTTTGCTCAAGTGCTTTGTCTATTTGCCATTTTGGTTTTCTTTATTGACATATTTGTTTCTTTTTATAGTGATTAAGATTATAACACAATGTTGACTGCTGTACCTCTATTTTTGACATTTGTACCTATTATGTCTGTTTGTTTTGTTTGTTGTCAATATAATGGAATTTTATGCGACTGTCATACCAGTGAGAGGTTTAGCTAGCTATGAACCAGGTTTAATCCATCATTTTCTACATAAGGAAATGCATGTACCTAGTCAGGAATATGGCAGTTGCTTTCAATTCGTTTGATGTGTTTGCGCTTTTGATTTTGCCATTTGATAAGGGACTTTCCGATTTGAATTTTCCTTGGAGTTCGGTCTTTTGCTATTTTACTGTTTACATGTTTTCTAAAGAAAATCATAAATATGAGAAAGAAACTGTTACTCACCATTTAAAGTCAGATAAATCATGGTTATGATACTCGTAAACCCAGTGTCAACCTGGAGATATGAGTGAGGTCCAGATGTCCTTGAACAACTACCCGTCCGGTTTCCATCGATGGACAGATATGCTGGATGACTTTTGCTCGGAGGATTTTTAGTCGCCGTTCCATTAGAAGCAATATTATCTGTTAAGCGTATGTAAAAAATGATTAATAATGATTGAGCTTTATTTAAAAAAATTTAAGCGTTCACGCCATATCTGAATTACTTGATTTTCCTTGTTTCTTATAGTCGCTTTTACTTTTGACAACAACATGCTAATACATTAAACCTAACAATGTATTAGACCGAAATGATGGAAACATTTCATTAAGAAGAAATGACACTCTACCTGGTCACATTATTCGAAATCTGAGCTGACCAGTTTTTGCTCTTGCTCGTCAATGCCACCGGGCTTAGTGGCAAAACATTAGAATAGCAATTTTAATTTGTTTGGTTTAATCAAGACGGGGATCGAACCCATGAACTTAAGTGGGTTTTTTTTCTTCATTTTGTTCATTTCGGGAAACATAAATTATTTTAAATACTAAAACTGATAATTCTACATTGAAAATAAAGCTTTTGAAAATCCTTTGCGAATAAGAAAAAAAAACTTCCCTGACCCTAAATCACATCTCATTTAAACTGCTATAACAGAATTACGTGGTAGAATGACTGGAGTCGACACTATATACGATTTATGGTCACATCACAAATTGATTGACCGACACGATGAATCTCAAATCACTATCGACATGTTTTCGCGGTCTTAGATCTTTTGATACCATTATAGTCTTCTAATCTGTAATTGCTCCAATTATGTCCTATTCCGGCCGGTTGTCAAATTTTAAATGAGTTTGAATTCGCATGTTGGGTAATGCATACATAGCAAGAGAAGCTCGCCCTGTTGACTGAACCGGTCTTTCTTCTTTTGGAGTTAATGTGATTCCCATAGTTTCTATTTGTCAACCTTGATTAGTCTCTTTTGAACCAATTGACCAGCAGTAAACTACTTTCGCCTTAATCTTAATAGTACTGAAATACACCAGGAATGATAATTTAATTTGTATGTTTATTTTCGAACTTCGCATTGTCGATGTTGTAAACTGTTGAAGTTTATGGAGTAATGAATTAGGTCATGAATGTTTGAAGTATAAATATTTTTGATATGTTCGTTTGTATTTTTCCGTTTTTCAAGGAATTAATGTTGTTAGTCTGAATTCGATCTTGTTTTCATATTAAAAAAGAGTAGTAGGTATTTCTTAGAGTTTGTGTGTGTCCATTCTTGTTTATAATAAGGTATATGATGTTAATATGTATTTATGTTTGATATGTTGTTTGGCTGAGTCATTATATTTGTCCAGAAACAACACGACTGAATGAGAAACTGTACTATTAATGACGTCTTTACTACTAATCCGTTAGATGTGTACTAATTGATATTGAAGTTTATTCATTAGATGAAATTGGCTTTAACCTATGTTTCAGTAATTGCAGTTACTCTTATATCGATACTAAGTGTTTTTGTAACGTTGTTGTTTAAGTTGTGTTTCGTGCTTATCTGATGACTCAAGTCCTTTCCCACTGAAATTAAGTGTTTGCTTTTATGTTGTTCTGTTAAATCATTGTCATAGGTTACAGAGTGTATTGAGCGCTAACAAACATGTTTAACTCTGTCCCATTTGTTATGCTTGTCCCATTTGATGTGCCTGTAATAAAGTGAATGTCGTTGCTTGTTGTTAACGATATTTGTTTTTCGTTTATTGTAATAAGCATTCATCAGGCCATTGGTTTTCTCTTATGAATTGTTTCACTTTCTCCAGGGCCTTTCATATCCTCCTAAACCGTATTTATTTTGTGTTTGCGGTTACCTCTAGTTGTATACATTAGTCTGTAATGGATAGTTGTCCCGTTTGCAATTTCAACATCTTTTCTATATATATCTATTCATATACATCCGAATCGGATAACTGGAGTGGTATCCGGAATTTTTTTTTTTTTTTTTCATTTCCTTATTAAGACTAAATGATAAAAATTGAGAAAAGCAAAGTAAAGTGTGCATGATATCTTCCAGAAACCAAGTGATACTGATCAAATGTAATCAATTTGTATTTGACAAATCGACACAAGTTTCCCCATCTAGTGTTACAAAAAGTCTCATGTATCTTGTAACTTTACATAATCATAATGTATTGGATATTTTTTTTTCAATTTACCGATTTGACAGTTTCTAGTTTATTGACTGAGATAAATTACTCACAATAACTGTTATTACAGTTCTGTCCAACAAGTCCAGTTTTACACCCATCTGTGCAAATGCCGGTGTTCTTATCACACTTGGAATAAAGACAGTTAGGAGATTCACATCCCCAAATACAAGAACCATTTCTAGGGTAACAGTGGTGGTCTATACAGTAAGCTGGACATGCATTTGTACAATCTACACCCCATGTTCCTTTCCAGCATCCTACAAGGAAAAAGTACATAACATAGACTTCTACAATCCGGCAGTAAAACCGAGGCAAAAGAGGGTGTCCGTTTGGTTTTACAAGATGTATAAATACACGGCCACGTCCGATTAGAAAAGGAACGTTGGTTCAAATAGAGAGTGCCACATTGCAATTAAAATAAAACTTGCAGCTGCACTGTAGAATTCTGGCTTTATCCAGCGTGTCCTGTTTTCAACATTTACGCCAGTTAACCTGCTTTATTAAACTTCCTATTTAATTGATACTTATTTGAATTCGTTATTATATGCCTGGGATATTTGTACATAAACTTAAAGCAACAAACAACCAATAAATCAACCTAGTAACATTAGTTCAAATACCACTGTGACTTCATCATGTTCATAAACATGTCAAAACAGCCGCACAGTTATTCATTCAAACGGACTCCACCCCCTATGTTTTATATATTACAGGCATCTTTTTTTATAATTCAGTCATTCTTTAACTGTTTTTATATAATATGACTTAAACACTTAGTCATTTTGTAAAATGCCTGAAATTTCTAAACAAAATTCTAGAAATTGCCTGACAAATTTAGTACTGTATAGAAAAAAGTAACCAATTACAAACACGATAAAAAAAAACACTGACAATAATATCTTAAAAAAAAACAATTAAAAAAAGTTCAGATTATATTCTCCCACAAGAGGTAGAGTTTTGGAGTGGTTATAGTTTAAGTATCTATCAGTGCTTTTTGTACTTTTCCTTTCTTATATTCAGTGTGGGACAACTTTGAGTATCTACAACTCTGTATTTCAAGGTATCTTTTAATAATTTGATCATCCCTTCAAGATTTCTGGCACAAGGACGAAATTCTCATAAAACAGATCAAAGATTTATAAACTAATAAATAGAAAAAAACTAGATTCCAAGAAAACGTGTGTTACATGTATATGGAGCTGATAGAAATATGAAGAAAAAAAAATATTTTGAAAAATCTTGATTGGAACAAAAGAATAGGATGTTAGAAAAATTCGTACAATATGTGTTCGACTTGTGAAAAGTACATACATGAGCAAATATATCTGCCTGATATTTTTTGTTTGTGTTTTGTGTTCAAGTGGAAAACTAATCAGAAAACAAACGACGTGCTAATAATCTGAAAGTTTTACTAATTTTGAATATTTTTTGTTTGTAGTGAAATATACAGTTGCAGACGAACTTCACTCTACATTTAGTTGGGTCAACTTTGATGTTTATTGTTTATTTGTTCTCATCCTGAATATGCATGATATATTTGCCACTGGGCGTTAGGCAAACATCAATGAAATAGTGTGATGATTATATCTGGTGATGTTCCAGGTGTAACGAAATTTGCCAGTAATGGTCGTGGTAAGACAAGATGTAACTCAAAATATCTGTGCAAAAAATAGGAGAATGTGTAACAATCCCTGGCATTAAAACTTTAAATGTTGTAACAGATATTTATCAAGTTTAATGCTTTTTTAGTTGTAAATAATTCGTGGGACCTGTATTTGCGCTAATTTGAATTTTGACAGGTATTACTTTTGCACGAACAAAGTGGTGCATTGTATTACATTATTATGAAAGAAAAAACTGTCCTGTTTGATACTTCAAATGGCTCAGGTTTTGTGATAATTTCAAATTGTATGCGTTACAAATGTCCGTGAAAACAGTCATTATATAAAATGCCATAATCTGACAGGCGTTTTAGAAAACACATCAATTGTTTAGTCACTTTATATAATGCCTCAATTTGGAAAATTCTTGTAAAATACATTGTATACTAGATAAAAAAAAAATACAAAATACTACTAACCATATATTGCTATATAGCATAATTCTACGAAAGCACCTTCGCCATTTGGAGCAGACTTTCTTCTATTGAAGAAATAAACATTTTTCGTGAGTTTATTGCAATTGATATCCTGGGTAACGTCAGGATCGCCAGGTATTCCTAGATCTGTGTAACAAAGGAAGGCATCCTTGGCGCCAACGGTAGCATTGGATAGATACAAACGAAATTTATTCATACGGTTGGCTTCTGTAAAAGAAATCAAATAAATTCATAGAACAAATCCAAGACTGAATGCACGAACTAGAAAGATAGGTTCAGTTGATAAATGTAGTACTATTAAATTGTAAATACATTATTGATTGCATGCAATAAAAAGTTATACTTTATTTCCCGTCGCAACTGTTTAAATGTATAAAATATGACTTTTGTCGCGGATGTATTTCTTAACGTAATCTTTTTTTTTTTTAGTATTAATTAGGCACCAATTATTCTTTTGTTGAAGAAGTAGAGAGAATGTTTTTTTTTCTCTTATCGAAAGCTAACTATTATTTTAATACATGTAACATACAAGAAGAAGCTTTTATTTTGTGTGTAAAACTCAATGGCGAATTTAATTTATTTTCTAAATTTCCATGAAAACGAATTATTTGTTTCACTTCCTTTCTAAGCTTAGACAAATAACTCGCTTTCAAGAAATTTATTCGAAGAAGAGCATGCCTCCTTCAATTTGTCAGTTACTTAGATTGACGGACATCATGTACGTTCAGTTACACTGACCTTTTTTTTCATTTTTAGAAATTTATCGTTTTGTGCGATATCAGCGAATTCACAAAAGACATTGACATTGGAAGAAAAGATCCTTAACTTGTTTTCAATAAGCATTTTACTTCAATTAGAACATCAATATTTATTGGACAATTAAGTTTGTCTTCAGCAGAACATGTTTTTAAACAGGCTGAAGATAAATAACAAAACAAAATTAAGATAAAAAAGGGGAAATGGGCAATTCAGTCAGAACCTGGCTGTTCATCTTTCAGTTAAATATAACCCTTGGAAATCTAAATTAGAAATTAATCAACTCAGGGTTAACATTGTGTTGTTCTTTTTAACCCTTGGTTACGTAACTCCTGGTTAAAGTTTAGTGAATGTTCATTTCTTTTCAAAATAAAAAAATATCAAGATTTTTCTCCGGTCTTACAAAAACTGTTTGGTCAATGAATATGATTTCTTGTTAAAACAGTACGTTTTTCAGCGTCTAAGTTCATCAAATTAAATAGTACAACAACAACGCAGACGTGGTCATCTTTTGTTTGAAAAGAAGCGTTGCGTGGTAGTAGAATTGTACTTGACTATACTTAATTACATTATCTTACTAAAACTGGTTTAATTTTGCTGCATCAATTTGTTAATTGACTGCATAGAAGAAGACAGGGTTAAAAAAAAAGTATCAATTTGAAAATGTCTGTTATATACACTGTGTTAACGTTAACCTCGATGCAAAAAAGAGGAAGGACTGTAAATATAGAATAACCATACATTTATATTGTCTCGAAATATAAATTTTATTTGTACAAGGCTTAGAAACAGGTAGAAAGCGAGGCAACTCCTATAACTGTTCCAAATAAAATATTTAGGGTATAAATAATCATTTTTTTATTTGAAGCGGACGACGTAAAATTTCCGCGAACCTGTATTGTTAATTGACTTCATAAATAAAACTCTACGGAAACGCATTGTCAACGTCATAAACAAAGCGATACACGGTCAATTTGACTGCGCAAATAGCACAGCTGCAGTATATACAAAGAATAACCATACATTGTCTCAAAATATAAATTTTATTTGTACTCGGCTCAAAACAGGATAGAAATGCTCGACAAAGTCTCGCATTCTACCTGTTTCTAATAAAATTGAGAATGGAAATGGGGAATGTGTCAAAGAGACAACAACCCGACATAGAAGCCTTGTACAAATAAAATTTATATTTCGAGGCAATGTATAGTTATTCTATATGTATCAAACTTTGTGACCTTTCAAAGCTTGTTGTGAACAGGGATTCGAATTTTAAGAATGTATTCCTTGGGTAATAGGATGAACGACAGAAAAAAAATCTAAGGCTAAATTTCAACCAAGGTTTATGTATGATGTTTAACCCTTGGCTAAAATTTAACCAAGAGATGAACAACCGGGTCTAAGAAGTATTCATTGAATATACTTACATTTTCAGCTAAGGGTAACAGTAAGTCTGTTTTTAATTTGTTGGCCATATACATGATTATATATTTTTTTGGCTGAAGAAGCCGACGCCATTAAAAAATAATGCAAATGAGACAATTAACTCTATGATATCCTGGAAGAAAATATCGACACTTACTGTCCCCTCGATAATATATTTCAATATTTGTCACATAGGCTAGTTTTGGTAGAAGTAATCCCCACAATGCTGTCGTTTTCCACGCATCTGTAGATGAGCACCCATCATTCCATTCATTATTTGCTGGTCCATTAATAGCCAAATAAGCACCGAAATCTTGGTATGTTGAACTTTGATTCGCTATTCCTTCTACAGCAAGGTTTTCTGAAAATTATAACGATGCAAAATATATTTCCCCTTCATTTAAACGTACCATTAGAGATTCCCAATGAATTAATATTACTCAATGTATCAATCAATCTGATCGTAGCTTGACCCAATGCATATATTGATTAGGTGTTGCTTGTATAACGTCCAGTAGCAAGTATTCCATGCATATTTAAAACGCACGTAATGCATTGAAGCATGGTTACCAAGAGCATAGATTGAATGAATTTGTTTTGTTGATATAATACATCGTTTGCTAGTAAAGATTATTTTTACACAACAATTTTTGTGGCAACAACCTTTTAAGGGAAAACAATAATCCAGCTACCTGTATTCGAATGCACCTATCACACGTATTATTACTAACTCATTTCGCTTGACCTTAATATATTTTTTTTATCTCATAGAGTGAATTTTGAGACCTACTGAATCGAAATTTTGTCTGAAAATATGAAGATATGGTTACTTGGGAAAGAGATACAGCTTGATGCATTTATCATATATATGTAGTTTTTTTTTTTCTTCTTCCATATTTTTTTTCTTTATAATTTATGTTGATGATTATATCTTTATTACAGGCTTAGAGATGCATGCATGTTACCTCCGGATGTCTATTTTGGTTAGTCTAGCTTGGGTATTATGCTGACCTGTTTATCAAAAAAGTATTCTCGGTTGATTTATAAAATATGTGTTTTTCATTAGCATTTTCTTTTCATTGGCAAATATAAACTTTTAAAATCATGTTTATGATCATTGTTATAGAGAGGTTGGGGGTACTCTGGCGGCCAGCTGTAGTATTTTAATTTGTAAATTCCAATTAGTAGGCTTTTGAAACAAAATAGTGTAGTTTTTGAATATTTTGAATTTAAAGATTTATTGGTATTAAGGTGGTACCAAACACCTTGACTAAACTTAATTTGGCTCGTTTACTTTTCATAAAATTTTGACAAAATACTTATTTTGACCCTTTGACAAAAACATAACAATTTCAAAAAACTTAAACCACACACTTTATCAGAAAATATTCATTGGATATATAGCAGTTTGACAAACACTAATTTTGATCATTGAGAAGCTTAAAATATTCTTAACAATAGAACGTGATTAAAACGTTCAGCTGATTTTTAAAGAGTTATCTTCCTTTAGTGCTGTATCACCTTAAAGAACATAGATCGAGGAATACAGTTATCACGCCACCTTTTAAGAATAAACATATCGTTATTGTTTCTATTTCATTGCATATCCCATAGTTGACTCTTTATTAACAATGACAATGATCTCTACACACAAACGTATGCTTACTTTGTGCTGTAACCTTCAAAGTACAAACCTCGAAGATCAATACAAGGAGTTTCAGGTACACAATCATCTACAACATAACATAATACAGATATATTTATGGCAACAATGTCTCGCCTGCTCTTACTATATAACACAATATCATTTCGATTTGAATATCTCAATGCCGTGAAGCTAAACAAGATATGGAGATGTAGTGCGTAATAAAATACTATGCAATAATCATCACAAAGGGAATTGATAGACTTGTCAAATTTATATGACATTGTCTTTATTTTGTTTATTAATCTAAGTCCTGGAGTATTTTTTAAATACAGAATTTAACATCAAATAAGAATATTTACTTAGCAGAGAAGCAGAAAATACCATTTTGAACTCTTTGGTTTGACCTGTACCAAGAGCCGGTCACATTTATTTTAAAGTCACTATCGAATGAAAATACAAATAATAATACGACAATTCGATCGACAAGCAAAATCAAAAATAAACTATTGGTATTTAACAAGTTGATGAGCATATAATTCAGTTTTGTACGGAAGCCGGTAAGTGTCAGGGTGTAGTTTTATTTTTAAGTCGTTATAACGACTTAGCTAACTTGTTATAACGACTTAACTGATATAACACGTTATATCAACTTAGCTAACTTGTTATAACGATTTGGCTAACTCGTTATGACAACTTAGCCTACTCGTTATAACGACTTAGATAACTTGTTATAACGACTGAGCTAACTTGTTATATATAGATTCTACCACTGCATCGAGTGTGATACGATATTTATCCACTCGAGACAGTTAAATTTTTAAAATTTAACTGTCGAGAGTGGATACATATCGTATTACACGAGATTTGGTGGTGGAATCTGTTTCTCTAATGATTTTCAAACAATACGCAGGCAAATTTATTCCTTCTTTTCGAATGATCTGCAAAAAGATGTGTTCTTTCTATGTGACGTCATCAGGCATGGTCGCCTTTTTTCATGCCGTCACTATAGGAAATTCAGAGGAAAGCAAGAAAATTCGACGTCATAATCGGATTTTAACCAATGAAGAACTGAGATCAAACGAACCACACGTTGATTAAATTTTTTTTATACAATGGGTTCAGAAAGAGATAAATTGACGAAGAATTAGAGAAAACGACTTAACTTATCTAACTCGATATAACGACTAAGATAATGCTTTGAAACGACTAAGGTAACTCGTTATAACAACTAAGCTAACTCGTTATAACGACTAAACTTACTCGTTATAACAACCTAGCTAACTTGTTATAACGACTTAGCTACTTTATCAATTCCAGGACTTAACTATACCCCCCCCCCCCTTAATATCTTTGTCCTGATTTATTTTCGATTGTCTTCTTATTTATAGATTTCTACATTTCGAGTAAGTGCACATTAATTAGAAATAGAAGTTGGAAGATGTACAACTGCAAAAAAAGAATTACATTTGTTACATAAATGTCCGTAAACATCGAAGAGCGCAAGCAATATCTAGATAATGTAGAACTGCATAAGAGTGTCAAATTTAAAGACATTTACTGATAAATCTAAATTGTTTAACTTGTCTTTATGAATTGTTCAAACGGAAGAGGTGAATCACAAAAGCCTATTTTTGGTTCGCTTAGTTTTATCAGTAGTGGAGCAAGAAACTTTTAATAAGGGGAAGAGGAAGGAGACAAACTTTATATTATACTATTTTTTTAAGAATAAGGAGATAATCAGTAAAAGTCAACGGGTCGGCAAAATAACACGAAAGATTAGCATGCATAGGCATCTATTGACTTTTACGATACTGTATACTGAAAATTTAAAGACAAGTCTATCTGAACATTGTTTGGCATGCTTAAATTCAGAAATTGAAATATAGTGCTAAAATTGAGGGCGAAGGAGCCAGGGCAAATTTAACTAACTTCTAGACTATTTGAGTATAGAAAAGGTTTCGCTTTGCTTTTCACTTTCAGAAATTTGTTTTTATTCTTGTTCAATAGCTTGATACACCTTATTAATCGCTGGCTTATTGTTAGCTTGCTTGAGTCTGGTGACAGAAAGCTACTTAAAAGAATATCATTTTAATGCTTTATAAGTTAATATATCGCCATAATTAAGCTGTCTTATTGCGTTTTATAGTACTAGGTATTTGTTTAGCCTTATTTACAAGAAAAAATTAGATGATATAAATAGAATGTCTTACATTTATAAGACAGAACGCTACTTAAATTTGTTTTCATTTTAATGATTTAAAATTTGATATATGGATATAAATAAGCCGTCTTACTGCACTATGAGGCATTTTAGTGTTAAGCAACTAAGACGAGATTCAATTTTGTTTCCATACTCACGAGCCAGACAAATTTAGATTTATCAGTAAATTTGGCAACCTTACATTATCTGGAAATTGCTGACGTTCTTTTCTTTGTAAATCGGTCAAGTGTTTGTGAACTTGTTCAATGGCATAATAATATTAGACTGAAAAGTGTGTGTGTGTTTGTTGGATAGGGGGGCAAATTTTTGAAAGTGAAAAGCAAAGCAAAACCTTTCCTATAGTCACATAGTGTAGAAATTAGTTTAATTTGCCCTGGCTCCTACGCCCCTCAATGTTAGCACTGTATTCCAATTTCTTAATTTAAGCACACCAAACAATGTTCCGATACGATAGACTTGTCTTTAAATTTTCAGTATACAGTATCGTATAAAAGTCAATAGATGCCTATGCATGTTAATCTTTTGTGTTATTTAATTGCTGACCCATTGACTTTTAATGATTATCTCCTTATTCTTAATAAAAATAGTATAATATAAGGTTTAGCTCCTTCCTGTTTCCCTTATTGAAAGTTTCTTGCTCCACTACTGATAAAACTAGCGAACCAAAAATAAGCTTCTGTGATTCACCTCTTCCGTTTGAACAATTTATCAAGACAAATTAGAACAATTTAGATTTATCAGTAAATGTCTTTGAATTTTACACCCTTATAAAGTTCTACATTATCTAGACATTGCTTGCGTTCTTCGATGTATTTAGGACATTTATGTAAAAAATGTATTTTATCTTCTATTTCTCACTAATTTTCACTTACTCGAAATTTAGAAATCTATTTAAGGAATGACTGCAATATTTTTTCTGTCTATGAAGAAATAACATCAAAAATGTGGTGCACATTGATTTTTTCTTTCACTTGCGCCGATTTTTTCTTTCATTTGCGCCGATTGTGTAAAGGTAGATATTACAGGTGAATATTATTTCTTATCTATTAATATAAACCTCTTCCGTTAGCCAGTTATAAAGTATTAAAATCCATAAAAACAGAATACAATGAATTATAAATCTGTCCATGACGAGTATTTATATACTACACATCTGATGTATCCCTTCCTTGTAATTCTATAGTTCTTATCTTGACATAAGAAGCGGCCTTGGTTTTCTTGATGACTCCCATAAAAATATATGTTAGCGTCGTGCGAAAAGAACTGTTAATTGTAATGCGAATGAAACGATTTTGGACTGTTATTCGTTATTCGTCCTCTAACAATTTTCAACGGGTGCAGCTGCCCAGAAATACGGTGGATAACGTAAAGTTGAGCATATATAAGTACTTTACGTAGTCTAAGAATGCATGACATTTGTCATCAGAACGAGCGTTAGACATAATGTCAAACGTGAAGCAGTTCTCGATTTCATCTGGGGAA